GCTCTCCAAAACTTCAAAACTTTTTTTGTAGGTGCAAAGTCCTTCCTTTAAAAAAAAAAATGCTCCTTAAAAGTCAACCCTGAACATATATCTAAAAAAAAAAAAAAAATTGATTGACTATGGGGCAGCTGTGGCTCAGGAGGTAGAGCAGGTTATCCACTAATTAGAAGATCAGTGGTTTGGTCCCAGGCTCGTCCAGGCCGCATGTCAAAGTGTCCATGGGCAAGATACTGAACCCCACATTGCCCCTGACGGCTGTACCATCAGTGTATGAGTGTGAGTGTGAGTGTATTGTAAAGTGCTTTGAGTGGTCAGTAAGACTAGAAAAGCGCTATTTACTGTAAGTGCAAGTCCATTTACCATTTACTATTGCACTCATGCTTTTCTGGTGTTTTTAAAGCTAAATGTTATTTCATTTTTATGTATGTAAATGCATAGAAATCTGAAGATTCAGCATGTTTAATTTATGATAAAAAAAACTAAGTAGACCTGTTCATAGATGAAAAAAAAATTGTCTCTCAAAGGCAGGAAAGTAGAAGTTACTTTTATCTCTCTGAGTGTTTGTTGAGTTTGCTCTTCTCTCCAGGGCTCAACACGGTTTTAATAAATAGCTCTCATCTGAGCTCTTTATTGTTGCTCCACATCTTTTTTTGGAGGGGCTTGTTCTGGAAATATTGCTTGTATATCTATTCAGCAGTAACAGTTTCTTGTAGACTGGAACAGTAATTAAATTGTTTGTGTAACGAGCACTGGGAAAACAGTAACATCTGTCAAAACTCATGTTATAAAATAAGCACATGGAGGGAAATGGCGTTGTAGTGTGGCAAGTTCCATGAGGAAATGAATGAATTACAGTAAGCACATCATCGTAATTTAATTCCTGTTATTTCCCCAGAGTACCTCATTTGCCTCAGTCCCTCCCAAAATAACAGAAATAAACACGCTCATGGCACAGGAGCTAAGACGTCTCAGTCCTGTCGTCAGTGTCGGCCACCGCTCCAGCGATGTCAACATCTGCAGCTGTTGTTGTGAAATCAGCAGTAGGTGAAAATACTTGATTAGATGCACAGGTCCTGCACAAAAAGTGTATTTAAATAACATTATAGATCAGGGGTCTCCAACAGGGGGCTTGCAAGCTACCAGTAGCTAACTCCCTGTTTTTAGAGTAGCTCACCCAAAGTTTCTGAGAATATAGTCTGTACAAAACATTGAGGTGTATATATAGTACAAACTTTAAACAACGAAACTCCACTCGGTAAATCTACTCCAAATGCAACTAAATCAAATACACCGCCAAACAATGGAGCTTCCTACTTCTCTGATTTCTAAGCAGATTTATTTGCAGTGGTGTTACCATGTCTGTGTGTTCATGACTCAGATTTTTGACACAAAAATCGATTCTGATGTGAGTTGCAGATGTTTTTGGTAAAAAATGTGAGTTTTGGATATTGATATTTGATGACTTGTGTAAATCATCTTAAATTATCTATTTATCCGACAATACTTAAAAATATACAGAAACGTGTTGTTTCTGTTGTCTTGTCTTGTCTTGTTTCGCCTCTCAGCCACAGAAGAACCAATTTTCTAGCTTCAGCTTTCTAACCTCAACTTTGGGTTATTACTGGAGATAGCTATGAGGTTACAGAGGGCAAAATGATAGACCTTGTGTGGAGTTTAAGAGTTGGAGGGTGGACAGCAGTTCTATAAATTACATCTCCATCATCCAGCAGAGACAGGGAAACTGCTTCAACAATCCTTTTTCTGCTAAACACAGAGAAGCAGGTTCTGTTTATGTAGAAGTAGCTGCAGTTTACTGACCAGGTTTTCTATGTGACATTAAAATGTAAATTTTTCATGGAGCCAAGTACAGAGATATTTATATTCAGTGACTCTCCCAATGTTACATCCATTTCTAGTGGATATATGCAAACTAGTATGATCATTATTAGTATATTAGTGTAACATATCTGTAATGTATAAATATTTTTATACTATATTAATATGGAATTATATCACTGATGCATCCATCTGTAAGCAATTTATTATTGTAGTTGAGGTGGAGCTTATTTTAACTATTTTATTTACTTTTGCTATTTTTATGTTGATTATACACATACAGGATTTTGAAAATACGAAGGTAATCAGTCCTTAAGATTAGTTTTATCATTATCATTTATTTATTTATTTATTCATTGCCTGATTTAGTTTTAAAAATAACGAACAAGTAGGTTTAAAGGTGTAAATAATTTATACACATTTCTTAAAAGTGATTTTTTTTTAATGTAAAGTTACAAAAAATTAACGGAACACAGTTTTTTTTCTGAATATGAAAAATAATAGACGGTGCTGATTTAGCTAAAGAGCTATGATGTAGGTATCACTTTTAAATAAAACAGGTTCACCTTTTAGTCTTTTACGTGTGATTACTAACCTGGAAACCAAAAAGATGCTCTAATAAATGATTTGTAATGGATCTATAAACCACTGGTAAATATGAGCATTGAAGATCTAATAGCCGAACTGTCTCTACATGTTTCATCCTTGTACAGTTTTATTTTCTGTTTTAATGAGCATCAACACTGTGAAATCTTGTTTCTGAGAGGGTCCGTTTCTCTTTCTCACATTTAATCAGGCTGGTTCCACAGTGGCAACTGAGTTTTGTCATGTGGGGTTGTGATGCCAGACCTCACCAACACTTTATATACTCAACCCAGTACATACTGTACTTCAAAACCTTTATGTGAAGCACCACTGCCATCTCCTGGCACAGAGTTAGACAAGACCTTTTACTACTGGACTCACTGACTCACTGTAGAGGTTACATTCAGTGTTTCTCACCAAAATGCTTTATGGTTATCCTTGAGGTCTGACAAACATGTTGAATGCATTTTCATCACATTTGGAAAGCCTTAATTAAACATTTGAAACCAGCATTGTTCACATCCATGTTTACTTACTAACAGTCTTCTTCTTCCCTGCATCTTACCACCACCTGTAGATCAATGATATACTGTGAAACGTGCATGCATGTGTGTCCTCTGAACAAACTAAATGGGGATCCATTCATAAAAACATCCATAGCCCCACTAGTGGTTAAAAACCAGTGATGACAGAATCACTCAGATCATTTACTGAAAGCTGGAGTGCAGGACTTACATATAATCAGCACCAGCAAATCTCTCAGTATTGCCAGAGGTTTAAATTTTACATTGACATTACTGCACTGGCACATCAGCGATTTACAAAAGGTAAAGAGGGGAGCAACCTTGGCAATGGAGACAAAGTAGGTTACAGCAAGTAGGATTATGGTGTAAGACCCTAGGCAGAGTTTAAGAAACATTTCTGATGCTCCAGGTAAAAAAGAAACTCAGCGTTCAGAGGAAGGATTACAGTCAAAGAACAAAGAAAGCAATCAGTAGCGAGGGCAAGCACACGCCCACAGTGTTTGTGTAATTACTCTCACTGCCAGAAGGGGGGAGACGAACGTTCAGCACTGCAGCTTTAAGTGAAAGTATCAATACATAAATGTAAAAATACCCCACTAAGAGCAAGTTCTGCATTATTTTAACTACAGACAATGATCAGCAAATTTGCTAGAAGAATAAAAGTAGAGGTAATTTGCTTTTTTCTTTTATTATGAGAAGTAAAAACTTTTACTGTGAAAAGACCCGTGAAAGAATTAAAGTTGTGTTAACATTAACAATGGCTCTGTTCTATTGAAGTGGCCCAGTGAGTCATGACAGTGAGTCAGCACCGACAATACCATGACCCTGAATGTGAAGCAGCTAATTATATGCACCTGTACTTTTCCTACTTTATTTTTTATTTATTTATTTTTTTTAATATTCAATGCAAGAACAACAAATGTGTTTGTTACCATCTTCCTTCTACATTTAAAAGATGTTTTTTTAAACATTTGTAGATAGGATCCCTCTCTAGCTGTCAAAATGCCTCTGCTCTGTCCTGCGCACTGTCCAGCAGGTGATCATAATGCATATAATCAGAACATACAAGGTCCCCATCTGCGCGTACAGACACAACAAACACACAGCTGATGAGTAGGATCATTATTTTTGGGTTAGTTTAGGCTTAAATATATTCTGGGGCTTTTGGTTTAAAACAACCCACAACACAAGAAGAGTTTCAAGATTTTTCTCTTGTTGTAGTAAATTTTCACCAAAATATACTATGCATTATAAATATACTGAATGTTAAACTTATGTATATATTCCAATGGAATAACTATACTCACACCTGAGGTTAGATATGTATGTAAACCAGCCTCTACTGAAGTAAGATTGTTACAGAATGGAACCTGGAGGGATTAAAGTTTTTTTTTTTAATGGTCTGAAGGCCCTGGGGGCAATGGTGTTGGAGTAAGCAGCCTCTACTGAAGTAAGATAGACCCAGATTGAGAATAGACAAGGGCCTTAGGTTTGGGGTGGCGGAGGGGCTCTTGGATGCCTGGTCCTACTACACGCCTTGGCACAGGAGTCTTAGATAGGGTGGACGAGGGGCTTCTGGACTCCTGGTCCTACTACGCTACCCTGGCAGGCCTGGTTTGGGGAATTCCACACAGGGCTGGACATCATTGCTCCCAAGGGGGTGATAGGTTCACTTTAGAAAATAGGTGGAGAACCCACCTAAGAAAGAACTATATATGATTGTGCACAGGCTCTCTGTCTTCAGTTCGGATCCGGATCTGATCTCACTTTTATTCTTGTGAAAGAATAAATTCTATTGCATTAGGCTCTGATCATCTCCAGTGACTTCATTTTTGAATCTTTTTGACTCCAATAAAAGTGCAGTTTTGTAGCAAGTTAAGTGTTAGTGAAGAGGTCTAGACTTAGTCTCTGGCCCGGACCTGTACCTTTTTTCCTCCAACACTGTCTTAAATGACAATTTACACAACGATATAGCACTGTTAAAAAAAATGCATTAGTGTCATCCCCAAACACATCATTTATAAACCAAACTGTACCACGATAAGACTGGCGATCTTATGCTGGTGTTACACGGTCTGGTTCTGCTGGTTTCCAGTCATAGTCCAGATTGAGGACCCCTGCAGGTAAAACGCGGATCCCCCAATAAACCCTCTTCACCCTGCGGAAGACGGCATCCTGCACATCGCAGCGATAAGTACCTGGAAATCACATGATTCGTTTGTTAGTTTATAGTCAGGAGGTGTGATTGTGTCTGTGTATTAAGTGCATCAATTGGAATAGCTGATTCTGCAAAGATAGTTTCATGGTAGGCAAATCCTATCTTTCTCTACCATTGTCTGTCTGGATGTTCTGTTGCCAATTCTGACAATATCTCCTGCCCCAGACCTGCTTTCCCACCTACCAGAAAATGGAGTCCAACAAATTTGGTTAAAGTGATAACATGGGCCTGTTTGTGAACATGCACAGGTGTGTTTACCTGCATCCTCCTCTCTAACTGGGTCCAGAATCACTCGGTCCAGCTGAGGAGCCTCCCAGCGATCAAACAGGGAGTCATCAGAGCTGATAATCCCTCTGGCATAACGCCACAACACCCTGAGCCGCAGGAAACACAATCACAGCAAACTCTTACCAAATGGATTTTGCAATCACATGTTGTTCTTCCAGGATCAGATATTCACATAATAGGATCTGACACTCTACACTGACAGAATCAACTTCATGGATGTTTAATTGACTTTTCATCTTTACATGTCAGAATGCACCTAGACTAAATACTAAAATAAAAATACAGGTTATGTAATTGGTCTGTGTGTGTGAGGGATAACATGATCTTGTCTTATACTATTTGTTAAAAGCTGAGCAGCTGAAGTCGCAAGATTTTTTTTTTTTTTTTTTTTTTTTTTTTTTTACAATGTCTTATAATAATCTAACGGATATGAATAAAAGCTTGGCAGAACAATATTTTTGATTTGTTTTTCAAATGAAAAGTCGCACCCAGCTTTCTGGCTGCAGGTTTGATATGTGCAGACAGGATCCAAGATGTCTCTGTAAAATAGGTCATCTTAGGTCAGGCTGAGAGAGAAACCGAATCAGTCCAGTTTTTGTGTGTGACACCATCTGATTAAGTGTATGTTGATGCAGCCAAATTCAGTTAATTTTATTCTGAAATTGTCATCTAGTATTACAGGATGAGGCTAATTTTCATGTTGTATTCAATCAATCACTCAGCACAAAGTGCTTTTCACAATAAAAACAACCCCAACCGCATCACAATCCATGCACAAAGCGTGAACCACCAGATTATAAATAAAGGACTCAGGAACCCAGGAATCGCAATCATGAATCTCATAAATTTGTAATGAGGAAACACCAGAAGCAGAGTAAATATTTAAAAATTCAGAATAGAAAAACAAAACAATAATAGAAAAGTGAAGTGTGAAAAAGATATTAAAAGACTAAAAGAGAGGAGGTGTACTGAAGTGAGTAAACCCAGAAATAAAAGGTAGGGTATTAACAGGAAAACAATCCATACATATATACATAAATAAATATAATCCAATTAAAAGTCAGACTAAAGAGGTAGGTCTAGAGTTTGTCTCTCCCCTACTCCTCCGTCCTTACCTCCAGGAGAACCTCCCCATCGCCTGCATGACTTCTCCCAGACAGTCGATCTCCACCCTCTGCCCTGAAGTCACAGTCATCGTCCTGAGGCCACACTGCCACGACTCCTGACACTTCACCTTGCGAACACGACACGCCTCCGACACCTTCCATTCAGCCACATGTCCACATTATGTTATAAAAGTCTGAGCTATTTCCCTTTTCCTGCTCATCTCAAACATTTCGTTTTAGATGTCTAGGGTGTGTCTCTGTTACCTCTGCTCCGTTTCCACTCCTCCCGCCTTCTTCCATCGCTCTCTCGCCGTCTTTCATCAAACACACGGTTTGAGTTTTAAGCCCCAGCCCGCAGGTGGTGCTGCAGGGGGAGCTGTCCACGATGACCTCCACTGGCACATTATCCACCTCCTCCAGGTCCCCTGAGGTCAGAGGTCGGAAGAAGAGGAGGAGGAAGAAGAGGAGAGGAGGTAGGCGAAGCCCTGTAGATATACGCTGCATCTCAAAGTGTGAATGGAAATCTGCAGAAAACAAGAAAGTTTTTAGTTTTCTACTGAATCCACAAAGTCAGATGTCATTAACTATTCTAAAGAATATTTAAGCAGCATCACACGAGAGGGAGTAATGTTGTACCAAAGTGTTGTACCGAGTATCAGCACGGCTGTGACAACAGTTATACCAGCGCCATATTTGTTAACAGCAACAACAGATTATGCGTGTTACGCCAACACAAATAGTTCCGGAACTGGACTGGTTCTATGGACTGTTGCTAGGCAACACATAGGCCTAAACGTTTTCATGACGATCAACATGACGATATCCTATCCTGGTCGCTTAAGTATCCAGGCTTCGTTTCTTCTCTTCATCCTCTTCTGATGACCATACACAATTTATATCAAATGTTATATCTGGAAATATATAAATCATTCATTTACAGTGCAAAGTTTGTTAAAATAAAAGATAGATAACGACCGTTAATGTAACACTAAGTAACAGTTAACAGAACACCTATCAGGCAGAGTGATGCATATAGTTAAAAGTCCCAGTGCTGTAGACCTTATAGATTTGTTGCATGAAATTGCAGGTTTCTTTATATAAAATGCTTTTTCCTCATCATTGCAGTACCTTAAAAGTTGTCTACTAATTTACTTTTTTGTTTTTTAATTAAAGCTGCATTCATAAACTTCCCTTTGCTCCTGGGGGCAGTGAAACAAGCTGGAAACACAACATCTTACATAATATGACTTTATAAAGCTGCTAAGAATAACATGTTGCCAAACAGTTAAATGTTTATACATCCAGCAGATACAGCGTAACATTAGCGTTAATTTGTAAACATCAACAACATTCACTGCCCTTTTAACTCTGTCTGTCTGCTGTTTGGCGCTGGGCAGGTAGTGTACATTGGGTCTGAGTTTTCCTTTCTGTGCTGTAAAACCAAAACAATGAGCCAGAATGGGCTAAAAAATCTTAGACAAACTGTGACTTTGATTTGATTATTCTCTGGGGTTTGTTTTATAAGTGATACCTTTCATATTACACATAGTATAGCTTTAAAGTAACTTAGGTCCTCCCCAAAACCAGTGTTTAGCCCTGAACAGACTGTATGAACCTAACACACTGGAGCTGTAGATTGCAGTTTGGTGCCTCTGTGTTTAAAGGTAAAGGTGAAGCTGCTACAAAAGTTAAAGTGCACTCACCCTCTTTGTAAAGCTGAACTGGAAGGCCAGCTGAAGAAAAAACAGATGATAAGATTATGAGTCCTACCTGCTACATCTGTTGGATCTGATGGTTGATTATGAATTGAATGCTGTGTCGTGACAACCAGAGTCCCAGGCTGCAGGTCCCATCACAATACAGTATACTGTATTTACTCCCTCCATCTTCTTGAAAATAGAACACTAAGGTTTTAAGTGAAAGTTTTATTTGTTGTTACATTAAAGTTTATTAAATTGACAGTCTGATGACATGAAACCACGATTCTAATTGGAAAAGGATTCAAACCTGTGAATATCCAGGGACAAGATGGTCTGTTGTACCACTTTAGTTTGTCTCTGATGTACAGAGAAACAGTGACAGCATAATGTCTAGGTCTAAAGATTGAACTGATTCATGTTCTTGATACAGGATTTTTCTTGTTGAATAAACAAGTGAACACCAAATCGTTGTGTGTGGCTGATGCTGTAGTTTGTAACATGACCACCAGGTGTCAGACAAACACTGGAGAGAAACCACAGACAGCAGCACAACAGCACTGTACTGTGAAGTGAGTGTAGCCTTCAAATCACTGATGCCGCTGTAAACTTGAGTGTCAAATAATTTGGCAGCAAATGCAGTCAAATAACTGAAGAAATAAAGATCCAGCATAGTATATGGAGAAATGATAGACATAGAAAAAAATATTAATATGTTTGAATGCTTTGAAAAATAACCGTAAACCTCGATAAACAAACTTTGTAATTTTAGTTCAAACAAACATCGTGTGTTTATGAAAATGATCAGAATTAGAGTTGATGTGATTTCCTCATTACTAGGTAGGTAGAAGTTCTTTAGAGTGTAGGTCAATATATTGGACAGATATTGGCACTGAGCATTGTTAAATCAGTATTCAAGTCAAGTCAAATGAAGTCAAGTTTATTTGTCTAGTCCAATATCACATACTGTGTACTGTGGTGCTTTACATCAGCGATGTTGCCAAGCCCAGGACAAAGCTTTCTAATAGGACAAGAAGGTGTTTTCATTTGTGGTGTTGATGATGATGATTTATTTATACATTTTTCTTGGGTGAAATTCCTTTTTATAAAGTGTGATGACCATCTGTGGACAGGCTTTCCCTCCTCCATGGTCTTTCCCTGCAGGAACCTGGAGGGTAGAGTGGAGCTGTCAGGAAGATTAATTTCACCGACTGACTCACTGATTAGTCCGTGTATAAGCAAGTAGCCAGGCTCCTGTGGTGTCCACCTTTTGGCTGGGCTTGATTTGACTCTTACTCTTTATTCTCTTTGTTGGACCGTAAGATTTTTCACAAATTGCAGCAATTCTTTTCTCATCTGGCAGTGCAGTTGTGATAAAAGACAAAACTCTACTTAATGTTCCTCAAAATTTGTCTCAGATGAATGTGAGTGACACTTTGAAAGCAGAGAATTACACCACACTGAAAAACATTGCCGTACTTATTAACCCTGTGCAAATGAAAATCACAAATACTCGTTCTGAAAATTCTGTATCATCACAGGTACAACTGAAGTATCCGCTTTCAAAGTCCTTGGAAAAAACCCAAAGATTATGGATTAATTAGCACATTAACAGTGAGCTGGGCTATTTTCAAACTGTGACTGATACTGGGAAAAGGACCAAGACGCAAAGACACACAAACAACAATAATACGCATGAAGAGAGTCACGAAGATGATTCAGCATCAGTGGGGGACTGAAACATGTTCAGTAGCCAGTAACAGTGGCCTAGTTGGCAAACCGGTAAAACTGTTAATGTGGTCAACACCACATGCTTCAGTGTGTTTGTGTAAGAACAAAAATGTAAAAAGAATAAAAAGAAGACAGCAAAATGGATGAGGATGAGGAGGTGGGATGGGACAGAAGGAAGGCAGAGGAGGGTGGGTGTGATGGAGGAGAGGTGGAAAAGGAGGAAGTTGAATGAGAACATAAGAACAGAGGGAGGAAGAGGAGGCGTGCCAGGTGGAATTACAGCCATACTGGACGATGATTCTGTGCCTCATGATTTATGTCCGATGCCAACATTAGGTGCCAGTGCGAGCTGTGCTGCGTCATTTATGTAGCCAGGCACAAAGTAAAGGGAGTGGAGGTTGAGGTGGGTGGATGGGCGTGAAGCATGTTTGACTTTCATGCAGGAGATTGGAGCTTGATTCCCATCACAGACCTGTAATTCATGTTCTGCTTTTTATTAACCACAATCTTTCATCAGCCTTAACCAAGTGTTGATTGATTGTGGCAACAAACTAGTTCCAGTCACAATATTTGAATTACAGCCTAATATCTAAGCAGTCATTATATCAAGTCTTTATCACAACAGTGACAATTATAGGGGAGTGGTTGATATATTTTTTTATAGTAACATAAAAAAAATATATACATATGTAGTTTGAAGAAAATAGACATGACGGAAACTGGTTGTATATCTTTATTGCAAGTTAAATGAAGTCCTGGTTGTTTGGTTTCATAACAATGCTAACCTAACTCTTGAATTCAATTCAATTTGAATTCAGGCCTGACCCCCATAGACTTTTTAATTCACTGAACAGCTTCACATTTTGGCTTTGTACTGACTCTGGTACAAACTGGTTTCAGCAGCTGTAGTTGTAGAAGTAAGTTATTCAAGTAAAATGAAGAACTATCCAGTTTGAAATGAAGTAGTTCTTTGTGTCAAATGAAGAACTGACTCTTTAAACTGGAAAAAGAATGACTGACTATGTGATTCAGTTTAATATCTTGAGTTAATTGAACTTGTTTTGCCATTTTGTACCTTGCCTTTACATATTCCATGCACATTGTGTGCAATCAATGAAAATGAGCAAACCATAACTCCCTCCCTGGATTTCCCCTGTTGAATGAGCAAGAGAATGAAGAGCAGGCAACTGTTGGTAAAGGGAAACAAAGATTAACCAAAGTCTGCACAGATTCATTGACAGTTTCCTGTTGCCTGAGGGTGGGGTTTACCACTAAACTAATGTCCAGCCTTTGGCAACTTCCTACCAGAAAACAAAACTGGTAGATGAGACCACTGTGCTTGAGAGAGAGACGGGCAGTCAGCATCGTTTGTAGAGTTTCTGATGGGAAAATATTTTGTAGGTTTGGATTTGGCACAATATAGTGAAAGAAGGTTATCTTGATGATCATTTAGGGGTTAGAGGCAGGGAAGTTTACATTTAAGCCTGACAAGGTAAATAAAAGGTTCAGGGTCAGTAAATGCAAAGAAAGGCTGAGGTAAAGTAAGAATGATGCAGCGTTTGTTCAGTTACAGGAAGCAGTTTTGCCTGTCAGCCTTATAAAACACATTTCCTGACATGAGGTTTGAACTTTGAGCTGCCGACACCTTTTCACGCTGAGACGTCTCACATGTTGAGTTCTAACGGAGGAGAGTGATGACCGAGCACCTGCTGAAAATACTGATTGTTGGCGATGGAAATGTTGGGAAATCCTCCTTTGTGCATCGCTACGTCAACGGACAGTTCAACAAGACGTACAAGATGACGGTGGGAGGTACGGCTGCTGCTGTTTATCAGGGCTCTGCAGAAAAATGTGACTGTGCAGGATCCTGAGATTGGTGTTTGTGTGTGTAGAGTGTGTGTATAAGTTGAGCAATCTCCAACATAAAATGCTCGTCTCACCTGTCAGTCAAGTGAGATGTGGCTTGTTTTCACCTTATAATGGCAATTTGATCTCGGGCATTCTTCCTGTTCATTGAAGTTTTATTGGTGTGATGTTTTGGTCAAAAACAACAAGGCATGTACATAAAAAAAGTAAAGAATTAATACATAAAAAGTGGTGCTTTACATTACATTGAACATATACACTTCTTATGAAATATCTAAAAACAGGACAAGGCTGATGTTATACATTTTATTGCCAACAAACCCCATAAAAAGACCAAAACCAACAACAAGTGGTCAACCTCTTAAAACTTCCTGTCTTTCCATCTTTGTCTGTGGCACTCAGGCTATGTCACTGCATCGTACTTAAGAAATATTTTGTCAAAACTGGTCAAAATATAAGATTTCAGTTTTAGCCATGGAGGCAGTTTAGTTCTAACCATGTCAATATGGGTCTGTTAGTTTGTGCCAGTGTAACAAAGACACTAGCATGGCTGTAGGTTTTTGGTTTTTAGCAAAGGAAACAGAATCAAATAATGCATTAACTGGAAATCGTTTTCAGCCACACATCACTATAATACACATTTGGTGCTCGAGTGAATATTTACGCCAGCAGGACAAAAAATGAGCCGTCAGGACTTCTGTAACTTTATGATGCTCTGAGCCTCTCTTCTGATTGGCTGGCTGTTTTCTGAGTGACCGAATAAAAATATAGCAGATTTCATGTGAACACTGCAAGGTTGGGTGGTGGGTCCAGGTGGGCGGGGCCTGGGGCATGATTGAAAGCAGTGACTGGTTGGTTGTGACCACAAAGTTGTGACTTTTTTTCTGTTGTTACTAGAGCTCCAAAGAAAAGCCTGAGAGAGATGTAAAACTGCACTGAGATGGTTTTTGGTTCATAAAATCAAAAATATGTCTTTCTATGGATCAACACTTCAACTACTACAATAAATTCTCCAGTTAATTCGGCCACATGAACCATTTTGTTAAGGAGAGTTTGAGTATCTCTTCTCTTAGAAAGGAATGAATATCTAGAACTTTTGGGGGGGAATTTCATATTTCTTAATATTGTGAGAATCCACTTCTGTTTAATTTTTCTCACTTGTCATGTGTTTCACTTCACTTCTTCTCTGTCTCTGTTGCTAAATTGTATTTTCTTTCACTCTCTAGTGGATTTCTCGGTGAAGCTGCTGCACTGGTCGGATAAAGAGAAAGTCAGACTGCAGCTGTGGGATGTCGCAGGTACAAAACATTTCACAGTTAATGAATGGAAGGATGAACGGGACGGAGGGATAGATGGATGACACAGTGAACTTTGTGTCCTCCCTTCAGGCCAGGAGCGTTTCATATCCATGACCAGGATATATTATAAAGGCGCGCTGGGCTGTGTGATGATGTTTGACGTCACCAGTGCGTCCAGCTTCCTCAACTGTCGCCATTGGAAACAGGACCTGGACAACAAGGCCATACTGCCCAACGGACATTCAATCCCCTGCATCCTGCTGGCCAATAAGGTGATTCAAAGCATTGAACTAATGAATGGTATCATGAGACTCCTCTGGCTCAGAACTCATTTGTAAGCTACATGTTGTTAGCTTGTGTGGTCGCTTGATGAACACTTTAGGCTCACAGCCTCTTACAGCCTTTGCTTCTCAGTGTTTTGAAAAATATTCAGTGAAACCAATGAATAAAGTTGATCATTTTCTCAAATTCAGTTATGTTCCTTTACAAAAGTTTACTAAAGCTAAACTTTTTTAAAATTGTTCTCCAGAAAAATATCTTCTAAATAAAGAAAGAAAGAAAGAAAGAAAAAATGCAGATTAAGAATGGAAAGCCTAAAATTCTTCACTCAAATCTTTTTAAAATCAAACAAAACCAACTATTATAAGAGTCTGGGGTAATTTATTTTACTTTACACAGGGTTTGGCGTTTGCCTTCTCCTGAAAACATGGCATGCATGGCAATTTTCTCCACCATGAACTTAGCCATACGTCTGTCTTTTCATTTTCTTTGTACACAGTTTAGCATTTGGAAAAATGCAGCTTTTTTAGTTTTTCACCTTTTTTAAAGGTCCCATATTTTACACTTTTCCTGTGTTAGAAGTATTTTAAGTGTTGATCCATAAGAAGATGTTTTTGTGGTTTTTAGTGCCAAAAACCTTTTCAGTGTAGTTTTACATCTCCTCTCTTAGGCTTCTCCCTGGAGCTCTAGTAACAACAGAGATTTCAGGTAAAAAAAAAAAAACACTCAGATAAAACTAAATCCTGCAAAGTTGGATGGTGGGTCCGGGTGGGCGGGGCTGGGGCTGGCTGAGGGTGGTGACTGCAGAAAGTCACACACCGCACAACAACAAACTGTCTGTGTGTCTATGTGCCTGTCTGTGTCTGTGCAGTGTGACCTCGCTCAGCGGGTTGTGTCAGCAGACAGCATCAACAGATTCAGTAAGGCTAACGGCTTCGTTGCGTGGATGGAGACCTCAGTCAAAGACAACACGAACATTGGAGAGGCTATGAGGTAACTGGGATCCAAAAACAGGACAAGTACAGATGATACAATATGACCAGAGAGAAGTTTTTGAGGAAACAGGCTCTAGTATATAAAGAAAGATAAGATGAGTTTGGGTCATTTTAGCTATAAATAGCAAAAACAATGTAAGTTTATTCCGTATCTGTAGTTTTCATAATGTAAGGCATGCTACTCTAATTCACTGATAGATCCTTAAATATGAAATCTGTTGTAATATAATTTACATTCACTAAATGTCACTAAATCTGCTTTGTTTCAGGAGGCTGGTGCAGGAGATCTTGTCAGTTATGTCGAATCTGGACTCGGTCCAACCCGGACCTGAAGACAGTGTTAATCCTCAACTGGACTCCGAGCACAGCGGCAGCAGCAGAGCGGCAGGCTGCTGCTGAAACACTACTTTCATCCATACCACAGAGTCCAGCAAACACCAGGAACTGCTCATCAGTCTACATCCTGAATCAGTTTTAGGTGCCACTGAGCAAGGCACTTAACCCTCAAGCACTTAGTGATGCTCTCCGTGTCCAGCAGTAGAAGAGCACAGACGAGGCACCAGGAGAGGCATCCTACATGTTGATGTTGGTGTTTTGTAACCAGTGCACTTTAATCTTATAGTAAACCTTTCCAACTGGGAAGTCTGTTTTGAGACAGGGTCTGCTGGACAGTTCTGGGGTGTTTATGTGTGGGTCTGCGTGGATCTGAGGCAGAGAGTGCACTTCCCTAATAGACACTAATTATTTAAGTATCACACTAAAAAGACAATATACAATTAGAAATCCTCAGTGAGGATAATGTCCCTGAGAGGAATCACCAGACCAGAGATTTACTGTCACAAAGCCAAAAGTCTTTTTCTTTTTCTGTCCCACTGACCCCAGTTTTTGGGACCCAAAAAACGCTAATGACCACATTTACATTACAGACTAATCTACCAATTATTTATTCAAATTATCGTTAGATTAAAAATTGAGAAAAAATGCCAGAGTCCAAGGTGATGTCTGCAAATGTCAGAGATATTCAGTTTATTATGATATATCACATATTTGCTTGATAAAAGAGTGAAAAGATGAATCGGTTTAGAAATAGTTGCTGATCACTTTTCTGTCAATCAACTAAGTGTGAGTGTTAAATTGTGTAACTGTATGTATGAGTATGGCAAATGTTTGTATTGTAACCCTTAGGTGTGTGAGGGGAACTCCACTTGAATAACAAATATATAATCTTTAACAGTGCTATTTATAAGTTTTTCTGCCATATAGGGCTAGCTGGTTCGCACGCTAACTTCAGTAGAAGAAAGGACGTCATAGAGACAAGAGTTAACATTGGCGTTGCTTTTCCACCGCTGGAGACAGCTCTTTGTGGTTAAAGGTATGAAGTTTGATGCTGAACTCTCAACATTTCTTCTAGACTGGAAAATAAACAGCTGTTAATACTAACATTAGCTGTGCAGCAAGAGCAAACTGTACAAATAGCTCCTTTAAATTTGAGTAAATGTCATTTTGGTCTGTATTTCTCCAGAAAAAGTTTGAGAGATGGAGAACGAGTATTTAGCAGGGGCAGTCACTGTCACTATGGTTAAACAGAGGAAGAAAAGAACATTACCTACAGAAACTAAATCTGCATAAACGTAAAATCCAATGACTGTGAACCTCTCACTCATACTGTTAGACTGACAGGTGATGTCTGAAAAGTTCAGACAGAAGCTTTATAGACATCAGAAGCTACAGTGTAAAGCCTCAACCAATTGTCTGTTATCATGTGAGTGACAGAGAGAGGCAGACAGTGAGGACAAGGAGGAGTGAAGAGAGCCAGAAGGACCAGTATGGTTATTAAAGGGAAGGCCTCTCGGTGTGAGAACGAGGTGTGGAGCGTGCTCAGCACAGCTGCCAAGTCGCCTTCTCAGACACACTGAGTCAGTCAGACACATGATGTCCCCTTGCTAACAACGAGAGGTGTGTGGGGCATATGGTGTGAAGGTGCTGTTGGATTTGTGTGCGCTTTTAATGTGTGTCAAACATAGGCACATGGATGTGCATGTGCCTTTGGGACGTCTAAAAGCTCACACACAATGTCGGAAATTCTGCTTTTGGTTTGTCAACACGCGCCTTTGACAGCCGAGGTTTGCGGGTATATCTCTGTCTTCAAGTCAAAGTCGGTGAGTGTTTGCCATATGGTTAAAACATTTTTAATAAACTCAAAAAGCTATGTAAAACACCATGTTTATTACTGTCATTACTGATATTAGCCATTTAATAAATAGAATAAAATACAAAAACTTCAGTCCAACATTTGTTATAGAGTTTCAAAGTGGGAAGAGGTGCAGTATATATCTTCACTGTAAATTCCCATTTCAAAGTTTTCTGTTATTTTATGTTATTGATTTGGCATCCGCAGTCTACCTCACACAGGAATATGAGAGTCATAATTTAAACCTTGTTCATGAGAAGCCTCATTTTCTATCAGTTTAGTATGAAGATTGGCCATTAATACAGCAATAACTATGAACCACAGCCAACACTGCTATGGAGAATGCAGCGTTGTTGTGATTGGGAACAAAACACAGCCGTATAATTTATCAAACATTTACCCAGAATCCCAAAGTGGAGATGTTTAAACTGCTGAATGCAAAGAGCCAGATTGAGAGGAGAAAATGTCATGTCCATCCAGGCCTTGAAATGATAAAGCTGTCAGATGCCTAACATTGGGCATCAAGCAACAGATTTCATACAAGTGATTGAAGACAGCTTCTCAGATTCAACAGTATTCTCATATCTAGTGGCCTAGGTCTGTTGCGTGTCACATACAGTCTAGTGTGGGATCCATTAAGTTACTGAAGCCGGAAATGAAGTTTGTCCCCTATGTGGTGCTAATGAGGAAAGTTCATGTATCATTAAAATGAAAAGAATCATTTGCTGCTGGAGCATGAGTGTAAGTAAATTTTATTACAACCTGCCTGTTGGAGTATGAGATATTTTGTGTTTAAACTTAACTAAGAACATTAGGATTCATCCTGAGATGGAACATGAACATCCACAGCAAACTGCATGACAAGGTCAACCCCACTTACTCAGACACACAACCAAAGGTAGTTGTTGTTAATTTGTGCTTTTGAGTTGTATAGTGTGCATGTTTGCAGATCCATGTGGGTTTTTTTGTGCCTCTGTCTATGTAGGCATCTATTTTTATCAGTGAGTTGGAGGAAGGCAGGACTCTCTTGGCTGTGACTCAGTCATCCACACACACCACCATCCTGGAAAACCCTCAAAAAATGGCTGGATGTTGGACGGATGGGCCTTTTGTCAGTGTGACCATTTGTCAGGATGTCGTAGTCACCACACAATAAGTATGTCAGTGTGCCTCACTCATATTTTTTTTTCTATTCATATCATTTCACGACTCACAGTGTGTCGTCAGTACAAAGTGCACTTCAGGGGGACTCATTAGCTGCTGTTCCGGAGAGAACATTCAGGAACCTTTCGACTCTAAAACCTTCTCTCTCCCTTAGCTAAGTTTCAGGGATGCATTTGAGGACCGATTGCATCACAGTGGCGTGACAAGGCTTAGGACCACATAGGACCACACTAATTCTGGGTAGTTCCTCCCTTTGCTCTCAAAACAGCCTTGATTCTTTGTGGCATGGATTACAAAAGATGTTGGAAACATTCCTTTGAGATTCTGATCTATGTTGATATGATTGCATCGCATAATTTCTCCAGATTTGTCAGATGCACATTCATGCTGCCAATCTTAGGTTCTACCACGTCCCAAAGGTTGGATTCAGATCTGGTGACTGGGGAGCCGACTGACGTGCACTGAACACATTGTCTGTTAGGGCTGTAGTAACACAGCCAAGGTGGACACAAATGCAAATACTCAGACAGGCGGCTGAAACTATCTTTACAGGCTGAAGGAGGGTCAAGAATCTGGAGTCCTGGCAGGGAGCAAAACTGAACAAAACTCAGGAAAACGAACAGGAAGCTACACAGAAGCACGAGGTAACACAAAGAAGTCTCATTTCAGTTCAGCCTTTGTGACAGCTTCAGAGGGTCACACCTTCATTGACTGCATCCTCCCTGAGTTGAGACACAGCTGTTGTCATGTTCATAAAACCAGTTGGAGTTGACTTTATCTTTGTGACATGGAGCATTATCCTGCTGGAAGTAGCCATTAGAAGATGGTAAACTGTGACCATAAAGGGATAAACATGGTCAGCAACAACACTGAGATACTAAGCTGTGGCGTTCAAAGGATTATTGATTGGCCAAGAAGACATGTTCACAGTAGCGTTAGATTTCTGATCTTGGCTGACATGCGTGGAACCTGACGTTGTCTTCTGCTGTTGTAGTCCATCTACCTTGAGGTTCAACATGTGCATTCTTAGATGCTTGTGGTTTCCACAAGTTACCTGAGGCCCACTGTAGGTTCACCTACACACTTGGAAAGCAAGGGGTGAAGGGAGGGGTATTCATTTGGTTGCAATCTGCAATCTTATACCCCACCACCGTCCTTTAAAAAAAATAATGTTCGGTTTGTTGCTTAATGAACAATCTCAAGACATCAAAGATGAAAAGCCTGACTGTATTCTATCACAAAATGATCAACCTACTGTACTTTGCCAGGGAAAAACAGAGCACAAAGATTTTTTTATGTTTCAAAGACACTTCACGTCTGTTTAGAGCTTAATTTCTTTATCCAGCCAACAGAATGTGGATGATTGCAGTACAGTCTGGCATCAGCACATCTCTATTCCCGGCCTCAGTACTTCCGTGACGCTCTGCGGCAGCAGCGTAGGAGGCCTCCCACCAGCTCATGTGGGCAGTCTGACTGAGCACCCTCTTTTATATCAAAGCTGTCTTTCTCTCTAAGCAAGAAAGCCATAGACAGTAGGAACTGTTCCACCTGCGTCATGAAAATATGTCCAATATGTTCCAGTTCACCGGAACTTGTAGTACTCCTAAACCCTAGAATCTTTACTTCATCCTGTTTTTATTTTTTATTTTTTTACACTCAGCACTGTTCTTTTTTCACACCAATGTAGTGGCTTAATTTCTTCTAATCTATTATACTAATTAATTATAAATCATACATTAATTTTACTGTAATGACAGTATGTACCTGAGTTCACATTGTTTCTTTACTATCACCTGTCTGCTTCTTATAGAGAAAATAAGTATAAAAGTTCTAACCTGATCCTAAGTGGCAGTCAAAAGGCATTCTGGGAAATGTAGTACATCAGTAGCTGAGGTAGTTCAGACGAGGTAGGTAAAACATAATGTAAAATCACAAATTCATTATTATTACTTCTGTCTTCTAGTATTTATAGGTAGTTCTGACTAATTTCACTTTTACCTCAGTGAAAAAAAGTTGTGTTAATTGCTAAAGTCTTGCTGTGAAGGGTGATGTTCACTTTTAGTTGAGCTGTTGCTTTGCAGGGTAGCTCTACTTTTACTTAATCGTGACTTTAAGAAAAAGTAAATGGTTTCCCACAGACGTATATGACAAAACTCCATCACAATATGACTAAAGAATCTGCTGATTTTGCAGACGTAACATCAAAACTCCACAAGGCCTTGAGACAAGACGTCAGCACCCCCAGCAGCGGGAGTGGCTCAAGGTGGGATGGTGTTTCTGTTCTACCCCAGACTCCGCCCCTTGACTAACATAAGCAAACAGACAGTTGCATCACAGCCCACACTAGATATTTTTTTATGAGTGAGTTGGATAATGAGGAAGTCATACAGGAAACAAGACACATTATCTGGGTCATCCATGGCTGCACTCTGATGAAAGTGAAATAATGCAGTGATATCACTCTGCTGTTTTGTTTAAACCTCTTTTTTCTAGCTTTTTGTCTGTTTTTATTCTTTTACAATTCTCATTTTGATTCATGTCTTTTGTTTCCTCAGTGATTATTCTCTTTGTAAGTTTTGTCAGGGGTTGACATTTCATGAGCAGGCTGACTGACAACATGTCACTCGTGACACCGCCATAAGTGTGGCAGATGTATGCAGACTCATTTTTGGGACTGTTTGTTTCAGGGTTCTTCAAACAACAGATCCTCGACCGTCTGCTGACCAGGAGGGGGTCACTTACCAGAAAGTCCAGCTAAATACTTGTAGTAGGAAATGATAGCACCTTGAATGAAAAAGTAAACAAAGATCTGCTATGAAGACCGGATTGGATTAGGGAGTAATGAGTGGGGCAAAACATGATAAATGTCTATGTTAGAGCTGAAAATAAGCATAATAGTATAAATAATACTTCAATTGTGGTGAAAACCAGTGTTTTACAGATATTTGTCAGGTCTCAGGACACCCATCTCGAAACCAAGATGATCCCTGACAAACTGGGAAGTCAGTTAACTATAAGCTAGAAGTGATGAATAGACAGATGAAATCAGTGGAATAGCTGGAGAAATATCTAAAAGTAATGTAAACAGCTCAAATAGCAAAAAGTAATGGATAAACAATTGAAATAGTTAGCTAGAAGTATAGTCAAAATAGAAAGCTACAAGAAATCTATATACAACTCAAATAGTCAAGACAAAAAATTAAGGGATAAAGAAATTGTTAGCTAACTAGTAATGGACCACTGGTGAAATAGCTAACAGTGATGGATTGGTTAAAATAGTTAGCTAACAGTAAAGGATAAATTATTTTAACAAATGACGGGGTTAATGAACGAGGGTATGGGTGTACAGTATGTCTGTATTTGTACTATCTCCCTGAGGATTTGTTCCTGCACTTTTCAAACTCTTAATGAAAATAACCAGAGAATCCACGCAGCAGCCAACACTTCAGCATGGGAAAGCTATGAAAAGCTATGTCTAACAAGTACATAATGTGTTAAAAGGATGGTAATGATACGCTGTGTTGATGTTGTGAACCTCAACCTCGACATGTATAATACTTTGCATGATATAACACACAACATTTCAGATGTGGCATTTACCACTTTGATGGTTTGTTCATGTGATGGTGCTATTTATACAGTACTGTGACAATAATTTCCTTCTAGTAATATTCACTCAGAGAATGTTTTTTATGCTTTTAGATGGAGGATAAATTAATACCTGGTTTATTATGAGAAACAGGCAGAACTGATGGCATAGAGTCACTGGTTCATAAATACATTTGCTCTTTTTAATGGATAATAGAGCAGCTGAGATACAGAAAGGATTAGATTTAAAGGGAAAAGAGAAAGACTGTGAACAAAGAGAAACACTGCAACAACAGCAAAGAGACAGAAGGAGCCAATATCAAGAACAAGTGAAAATAAATAAATGAGCGATGCCAAGAACAAATGCTGATGGTGTTATCATCCCCCATTACTTGGGCGTGTGGATCTTACACTTATATCACCCTCAATATGTCTCAAATGTGTGGTGAATCCAACACTCAGATATTCACATTCTGTGTGGTAAGCAGTTTTAGTGGAGAACAAATCTTTAGGTGTGTTCATGTCAGCACCTGTTATGGTAATGCCTTGAGATGGTGAATGTGCACAAATGATGTCCACTGTTCACAGTAAACATTAAGCGGCTGACATCAATCTTCCACATGTATGCCAAATAACTGTAATTCCTGTATTTGATATGGAAATTGACCACTATTAAGTTTATTATTGCCAAAGCAGTTTGTACAAGGTTAACAATGTAAGTATAACTCTACACAACAGTATGAACAACTATGTTACCAGACTAAATAGTTAACCAGAACAAATAAAAACAAATACCCACAATGCTGTAATTGCTGCCAGTTTCTTCAATAAAACACTGAATAAATGGTCTGAAAAAATATTTAGTAAATAAGATTTTTCTATAATCTAGTTGTGATTTTAATTTCAGTTATTGCATATTTACAGTTAGAAAAGAAGGAGAACAGATATGAAAATGAATTTCACTTTTTTATTTAGGCCTACTCATTAAAATCGTTTGAGGTTAGTGCAAACAGGCTACAGGAGTTTAGCCAGACTTTTGACACCCTCTAAAATATTTCAATACACAAATTATCTACATTTTGTAAAGGCCAGTTCTTCCCTTAAAGAAAGCATAAACTTTCCCAGAGCCATTTTTCAGGGTAAAACGCTTTTTTAATGAAATTAAATTTCTCTGACTCTGTATCTCATCACAAACCGCCTACGACTCTTGCTGCCGTGTGAATGGACTTCCGCATTTCCATGCCTCTTAAACGTGACCTGGTATCCTACATGTGACGGCAAACCGACCAATGGGAACACCGGACTGGAAGTACGTCGCCGTTCACGTTCTACAGGGCTATTGCTGCATTCATGTATTATAGGAAATTAGATAAGTCTGAATTTTCCAACGTATCATTGCATTTCTTGTAGGCTCCCAGACGGGAAATACAATCAGCCAAGCCTGTGGTTGAAGCGCCGATTATGGTATCACCGTTATCACGGAAATATCTGCGTAAAACCAAAATTCGTTTTTTCTTCAAGGAAAACTAAACAGTTAAAAAAAAAATTACGGGTTCTCTTTAGCTTTTGGGTCAGTATTCCGAAAAAATACTATTACGCCTGATTATATTGTTGTATTTCTATTATTTTTCTACTAATTACATCAATAATTGCCTTGATGTGTGGACCTTTTAACAAGTGTACCTTCGGTTGTCTTTTTAACTCGTTGTGCACTGAACGCGCCAGGACAGTGGGATAAGAAGGTGGCGCATGCGCAGTAAGACAAACTCTTATGAAACAAAGTAGTGCAGCAGTAGAAAGCAGGTACAGGGAGACAGGAGGGATTCTCAAGCTGAGACTACAGGCAACCACCCGGCACACAGCACTTTCTCACACATCAAAACCGAGGGAAGAAATGCTTCTTTCTTTGGGCTTGACATAAATATCACCCCCGAGGAGCCAGTACAAGGTAAGCTGAGTCTTTTTGGTAGCTTTGAGGCTTTTGTTTTAAGGCTAAACGGACTATACTTTTATAAACAGCGCCACCAGTTACATAAGCATCGCACTGGTGACCCCGTTTTGGTATACAAAGATGTTGTTTCCTTGCCAGAGACCTGAACTTTAAGACACTAACATGTTTTCGAGAGGCTTGGAGACTCGTAAAACATTTTCATCAGCGTTTAATTCGCAGCGTTGTGTGGTATTAATTGTGGGTGAAGTTCATATGAGATGGGTACAATTATTAGCTCCCAGTCAGAATAAACGGAGTGACCTAATTTCCATTTGGAGAAGTCATAGGAGCCATCACTGTGGCTTGACACTTAAATAGCAACATTTCTTTCTGACTGTGGTTCAGTGTCAACATCTGAATAACTGATTATTAAATTCACAACCATTACATGTTTTTATTTTTTTTGTTTATTTATTCATTTTCCAAACGGTATAATTATGTTTACACTGAAGTGTAGCTGTGTAATTTTTTGCTTAATACAGTATTTTGTGTAGGTCACATGGAGTGAGCTTTTAAAATATTCCCTAATTTGCTATTCATATGATAATATATGTAAATATATCATTACTGGTGTAACTGACTGTGATTTCACAAGACTCTTTCCATTGTCCTAATTACAGTGCAGTGTTTTTAGGTTTCAAGTCAGTTCATTAAAAGCCTCCATCTTCACCCATTCACCATCCAACCTCTGCCCCTTCTCCATCCCACATCAAATATTATCTGTTATTCAAAATACTGTTAGTGTGGAGGGTTTTTTTCAGGTGCGCCCTAATTGGAGTTGTTCCTTTGTGAAATACAGATTATAAATAAGTATTCTTAACACAGATGACAAATGTTTTTTCACCGCAAATTTAAGATGTGACACTGTAAAAAGAAAATCAGCAGGGTGGCAGAGAAAGTGAGGAGTTATGCTTCTATTTGTGACCATTGATTATGTCCTGCAGTAAAGCCAAGTTCATCAAAGTTAATGCAACCTGTAGTCACAGATGCCTCAGAGCCATATCAGCTCAGGGACCAGTTCTATAAGCAAACAGCACTTTGTTCACCTCATGCAAATGTTTTTATTTGAGATGTCTTTCTGGGTATAATTTCTCTGTGCTGATGATGCATATTTTTTTTTAACCTATGATGACAACATCTATAAATGTCAACATAGCTTTGACAAGTAAGACTCTGTCATCACCTTGGGTGGATTGTAGTAACTGGTGTTTTGGTCCAGACAGGAGCTTTTAAAACTGCAGCAGGAGTCGTACAGTAGCTTTAGAATAAGCAGTGGCTAATCGCATTGGACTGTGTGTTAATGAGTCATTCATGATTTATTAACTAATGTTTGGTCAGTTAAGAATAAATTGCGCATCAAATTTGTATTCATTTGTAATTTGCTTGGATTGGACACCAGTTATAGTGGATTCTACGTGTTAGTTTTCAGTGTAACTTCTCAAAGTCAATGTATTCGATAAACATTCATTCACAAATTTGTCATTGATTAACTTTTTCAATTCCACTGCCTCACTGGTAGGTACGTCAGTGCAAACTCAAGCAGTCAAACTTTATTCTAACCGATTCAACTTTATTCAAAATTCTAGTGGAACCAAAGCAGAACCAAAAGCAACCAAAGATGTGAAATATGCTGGGCTTGATTTTGTGACAATGTATAAACAAGCACTGTTGACTCAAAGGAAAAATAACTCTGTAAATCTCCTTGGAGTCCAGTTCTCCAGTGTCCATATGTTTCCTCTTTATATTCCAAACATTGAGTTTTTGCCAAAACATAGCACATGTTGGTTTGCACATATTAGAGCATCCACCTGTCAGTCTTGTCAGTCAGGTTCACTGTATCCTGCAGTAGCTCACTCACTCAGCATAACCAACTTTCCTCCCACTCATTTGTTATAGGTCAGTGTGTTAAATTCTAGTGAGAGTTCAATACAACTAAAATCAGAGTCAGCCCTAAGATACGTTTTTGCAAGGAAATGAATTAACACTGTACTGGGACAACAATTGTTATGCTACATCCTGGTGGCTGGGAAACATTTGGTTTTGTACACGACTTGTATTATCATAGTGTGACAGTCCATTTGAACCTTGGAAACAGCAGTTTGACAAAAAGATCTTAACTCGAGGTCCAGGTAGTAGGTCTGTCTGGGACTTTCAACAGCATCCCATGGTCTTCATCAGTAGCTGAAGTTTGCTCAGTTGTCAATCACGTGATGTAAACTCATCTTGTGATAAGAGGTGGTTGTATTTGGACTCTTGTACAGTATTATCATGCCGATCTTACTTGATGCTTGTCATTAATCTGGGTGCTGTCTTTGAACCTGCTTAAATACCACTTGCCACTGCCATCCATTTCTGGTCCTTTCTATTTAACCAGTGATTTATTGATCCATTCCATCACAGTTTTTTTTGTTTTTTTTAAACCTGAAAGTGAATCTTAAAAAAAGTTTTAAGAAAAAAATTTTTAAAAAGGTTTTTTTTTTTTTTTTGACATGTCAAAGCCTGTGTTTTGAGACTAGGCTGCCACCCCTCACCCATACTCACGTTTTTAAGTTTATCAGTTATGCACCAGTTCAAAAAACTGCAAGGTTAGCAGCAAAGATGGCTGATTATGAATGAATATCAGCTTGACAATACATCAAAGACATTATCCTCCTCAGAAGAGGAAATGAAATGGCTTCTGAAATTTGCTTCTTTAAATATCATAATGTCCTATTTGAATCTCAGTTTGAATGAAATGTGCTAGCCAACAGGGACTCAGTTAAATTCTGACTCACCCAATCAGTCAGTCAGCCAAGATGTACAGTTGATCTATTGAATTAGCCTGCAGGCAAGCCAAAAGTCAGCTAGCCTCCTAGCTATTTAGCCATTTAAATTAGCATCTCCCCATCTGTCAGGGACATTCTGTTTCTCTTCCGCTGCCATAAGCTGTTCAATTTGCCAGCCAGCTCCATAGACCCACATCGCCAGCAGGAGTCACACTACACCATGTCATCCTTCATATAGAAGTGCAGTAAATGAAGGAAAAAACACAAAGAATGGTCAAAGTAGTGAGACATGAGTTTTGTTGGACCAGAAAACTAGACTTTCCTTGGATATACAGTGGTTTAAAATTAACACCTGTTAGGCACTAAATGGCAGTAAAAGTTGTTCCTTATTTGGCATGTAAATCCCTGAGTCTCACCGGTCATTAATGTTTTAATGCATCGGCATTTGTCAGGCTTTGTCCCGACTTGACTGAGGTCCAGTTTATGCTCATCTGATCATGAGCCAATCAAATCAGTAATCCAGTGAGTATTACACAGACTTCAAATTGGCTGTTCTATACATTACATGGATTTGCACTCCCTCTGCACAGTTCCTCTCCTAGATCACATATCATAATCTTCCTGCTCCACCTGTGCTTCATCATCCTTCTGTTGTAACTGCAATTAAAATTAAAAAGCAAAACTCATGTTAGGATCTTGTAGCTCCAGGAACCATGACAGAGCCCACTGCAGCCTGAATGTGCTTAATACCAAAGCCTTGTCACCTATTCTTTGTTTAGATCATTTTATGGATTTTAGCCTTTATAGGACACAGTAGAAAGACAGGAAGGACTGGGTCAGAGAGATAGGAGGATAAGAGGTCTCAAGCTGGACTTCAACCAAGGTCACTATATGTGTTACAGGAAACTGAGCCACCACAGTTGGAGCAGTTGTATGCATGTCACTCCTCTCTCGATCTAACGTGTATGGCTGCAAATAAAAGTCGTTAGAAATTTTCAGCCACAGATTTTGTCATATTGTTTATATGATAAAACTATCCTTGTATCTTAGATTGTAGCAGACCTAATTAACCGTTAAGTGGCACTGTTTTAAGACAGTGTAGTAGTAGTAGTAGTCATTTGATTTTCTAGAAGTTTTACTACATAACTAAATGTCAAGATAAACATATAATTATATATCGTAATTACTCCTAAATAATTGATCATCTGCCAAATTAGTTAATGTAAATCATATTTTTTGTGTTTCCACTCATCGATTAATCAATTAATCGTTCCAAAATGAAATATTTTTAAATGCATGAATGTCCTCAGGCATAAGAAATGATCATTCTTTTTGCAATGGCACACTGAAAGTTGAGTTTTACTTTACTGTTGCTCCATTTCATCGCGCGCCAAATGCCTAAAAATGTCTCGGCTGACAATAGAAAGCAGAAAAAATGCTTGGGCACTGAGAAGTGATGGTGTTCCTGTTCAGATTGTTCTATTCCTGGCTCATCCCACAGTGTTGGCAGCTGATACAACTTGGATGCTTCTGTTATCTCTCCTGTTGGGAGGCATTCAGTTTTGTACCAGCCCTGAGTGAAAAGTAGCTGATGGCATCACATCCGGTTCTGTACACAGAGAGCTGATGTTTTCATTCACCTCGATTTTGAAAGAGGCATTTCACCACCAGTCAGTCACTTCCAGCTCTTCAAAGATCACTTTGACAAACGGTGATCCTTCTTCTTCTACTTCTTCTCTTCTTCCTCTTTCAGAATAAGATGGCCCGAAATTCCATCCACTGGTTCCGGAAGGGCCTCCGTCTCCATGACAACCCAGCGCTACGAGAGGCTGTCCGCGGGGCGGACACAGTGCGCTGCGTTTACTTCCTGGACCCATGGTTTGCGGGCTCCTCCAACGTCGGGGTCAACAGGTGGAGGTAAGGGTTTGCTTGTTTGTTCTTTGGGGAAATTTTACAATTATTTGATAATCATATACCGACTTTTAGTATAATCGTATTGCAACATATCATCTGATCATATCATGAAAACATTTTTGCGAAGTTCTTGGTTCCCAACCTGTGGGTCTGGGACCTCCACAGAGTCTCACAAGAATAACTCGTGGGTTTGCAAGATGATTCAGATGATGAAAACTAATCTTTGCTTCTTTTTTTTTAAAATTTATTGTAGCATGTGTTAATCATTAAATAATATTTGCTGATAATACATGCTGGTCACAATCATTAGACATAAGCAATCTTTCAAGGTTCCCAACCTGAGGGTTGTGACGAGCCTGACGGCTCTTTTTAAGGCTCAGTTTCTGAATACAGGCTGTGTGCATTTCTCTGTGGCCTGACCACTCTGATACTTTCACAGTATTAATACAGAACCTAGACCTGCTTTATAATCAAAAAAGACATGGAAATCTCTCTTTATACAATATGAGACCTTTTTAAGAGAAAAGCAGAGACGGCTACACAAAATTATGTTAATTTTTCCAACTTTCCTCTTATCTTTGCTCTATTTTATTTTTAAATAAACAAAGAAATAAACACTCTTTGGTAGAACTTGTCATATGCAATTACAGAGGAGGTAAACATCACCCTTCATTTTAAGAGAACAGCAGCCAAAAGGTTGGGAATCACCGGTTCTTAAATAAAGAAAAAATGTATTTCTTTTGTACTAATGGTGATGACAGTCAGAGTAGAGCTGCTGGAAGCTGTCACTCAAACATAATAGGGAGCTGACTTGTTGAGATAAGAATAAGAACCACAGAGCTGCAGTGCTGCGACACACAACATGATGTCAGCATTTCTCTTATTTTGAAACTTAATTTGTATCTAAGGCTCTTACATTTTTAAATGGTCAAATTGAGACTTTTCCTCATTGTCTAGGCAAACTTTTGGATTCTTTTCAGTCTTGTCTTTTAGTTAGAATTTGGATAATGGAAGTCCATTGTTAAGACTTCTTCATGGCTGTTTGTTTTGGTTTTGAAAGCACCGCAAACGACAAAAGATAAGTGGATTTAACAGGCGAAATAAATAAGGGTTTACATCTTTGACCTGGATGTGCTTGCTCAGTTGGTTTTGCAGCCCACAAGGTGCCCTTTTGTTGAAGTCTCTGCTCACATAATCCCTGTTATAGAGGTCAATCAGCAGGTAGACTTAGCGCTCAGTGACTGGATGAACTGGTTATAGCGGGAGTCTCAACACGAAGCAGACTCCAAGGGGAGGTCTCAGAAGTAGGTCATTAGAATAGGTATACAAGCTCCTAGGATAAATTGGTGTGTAAATAGGCTGTGTGACTGTTTGTGGGAGTCTGTGTAACGTTAGATGAAGCTCTGCCGCATGTCAAGGAAGCGCGTTTGAGTTCACGTGAGTGCTGAGTTTGTAAACCATCACATATGCTCTGCAGGGGGAGGGGGAGTCGATATCACTTGAACGTTCATTGCCCGCTGGCCCGTCTGTTGCTCTTTAGAGCTATTTGTAGTCCTCACACTGGAATAGTCAATACTGAAGTCAGTGACCCAGTGATATCCAGCTGATTGTGATACTAAAAATGTAAACACATCTGCAGTGGCGGTGATGGCGGCACCATCATCCAGCCAGGAAGCGCACATCGGTGATGCACGTCTTTTCACCCCTCGCAGATTCCAAAACATCGTTTGTAGGTCACTGGTAAAGCAAATGCACTTCTTTATTTCTGTCTGCCATGGTTAATGTGATGTAAAGACTCCATGAACCGAGGGGTCATCGGTGTCACCAACAGCAGGATGGAGAATTAGGAAGTCTGGCAACACTTTATTTTACAGGTCCATATTTTTCTAATAATTTCCCAGGAGGATTACTGGACAGACCAATGTATATAAGGTGGCCTAATTAAAGGTGAAATAGAGATCAATACATTCAATACTACAAGAGCATTTTATTTGATGCACAGCAGGTCAGCTGATCATTCAAAAAATGAAAAATAATGTTATGAAAAATATGTAAAGTTTGTCGACAGGTAAATGGTTAGTAAGCAAAAAGTTAACATTTACTTACCCAGGTTTGAATTGAGCTTTTCTCTCAGGAAATTCTTCTTGAAATAAAAGTATTTTCACTGCAGCTCTCCAAACATGCTTTTTAAAAATTATTTGGGAGGGTTGTACTTTCAATTTCTGACATGTTGTTCTCGTTCTCATTGAGTGAGAATGCGCGTATTGTATATTGCCTTGGACTAGGGCTGCAACTAGTAATTATTTTTATTATTAAATAAGCAACAGATTATTTTCTGAATTTGCTGTCATGTTTTATCAATATCATGTCAGAAAATAGTGAAAAATTGTGTAAAAACCCAAACTCATATTTTGACAGCTTGTTTTGTTCAGGTCGGTGGTTTGATCCCCGGCTCCTCCAGTCCACATGTGGAAGTGTCCTTGGGCAGGATAACGAACCCCAAATTGCCCCTAATGGCTGTTCCATCATTGTATGGGTGTGATGTATGAATGTGTGTGTGTGTTTGTGTGAACGAGTGAATGTGGGAAGTATTGTATAGCACTTTGAGCGGTACATGAGACTAGAAAGGCAGTCCATTTATTTATTCATATTCACAGGAACCTGAGAAACTGGAACCAGAACATATTTGGCATTTTTGCTTGAAAAATAATTAATCAGTTATATTTTTTGTTTCTATGCATATTTATGTATATATATATATATATATATATGGACCTATAAAATAAAGCAAATAACACAGCTTTTTGTGGTTGAACAGTTGCTGTCGGTACAGCATGAGTTTTATTGCTCTCATAGGTGGGACCACTGGGCTGAGGAGGCTAAAATCTCCCAAGGCAATTTAAAGTAATTCAGTGGCTCCTATGAGGGAGAAACAAACAGTAATTCATATTTCTTTTAGAGCTCTGTCCATTAAAGAAAAAATTTATTTCAGGGAATGTGTCGTGTAAAGTGTGAAATTCGTACTGGTTAGACTCTCAGTCTGATTGCTTTCTCCCCTGAGAGGAAAAGTAGCATCTTACTTCACTTTTTAGAGTGAAGTGGGCAGAAAATTGTTGACCCAGGCCCTCTTATCAGGACTAAGGCAGTGACGTACAACAAACGCACTGCTGTCAGACTCAAGGCTGAAAGAACCCTTTTTTTTTTTCTGCAGAGGTTAAAAAGCTGCATCAAAGGTCACAAGATGATCCACTGAGGTTAGATTGAGACAAATCAAGCAAAAATGAGGTCACTGATATGTGCACAAGCGCATTTTCATATCCATGGGTGTCGCACATACACTACAAGAAAATTGCATTTTAAAATAATTTAGAAAGTAATCAGACGTGTCCCATATGCAGACACACAGCAGGAGAGGCAGACCAGACAGATGTCTGCACTCTGCAGCACTGACAGCCAACACCTCCAGCTGCACTGACACCTGCAGGTCTGTCTATAGCAGACCATCATCCAATTAGCACTGTTATTTTTACCTGAAACTAGGACTTAAAATGTCTTGTGGGTCTGTTGTGCAGGGATTTAAATGCTCCATGGTTACCAAGAAGCTACAGTAGATAGTGATCTTTCCCATTTGTTCTCGCTCATTCATTTCCTCTAGTGCGAGCTGTGCAGACCAGACAAACTGTATGTATGACAGATGTCTTCACTGCTCTGTAATGACCTACTTTGCCCTTGGTCTTCCTCACAGATATGATAATGTCAATAAATGATTTCCTCAGGTGGTGTTGGTGAGGTTTACAATTACTTGACTGACTGACTGGATCAGTCAGTCAAGTAACTGTAAACAAATTATCCAATATAATCAATCTGTATCGTTATAGTTAAATTGTATGTACGTGCCAGAAATCCCAAATTATAATCTCAACTGTATCCTTAGTGTTTTTGAAGAATCTCATGTAAAGGTCAGAAATGATGTAAAAAAACTGTAATTTTGAATTAACCATAATCTGAAACCGGACAGAGCTCTTCAAAATCTAGGTTCTGCTTACGTGACTGAAAAACAATCTTATCTATTGAAACCACCAATTACTAATATCTTCTCAAATAAGTAAGAAAAAGGAGACATAAACAGTTTTTTCTTCTCTTTTTGGTGTTGTCTCTTTATCAGTTACCGTAGGACACGTAGTTCCTTGTTTCCTTTAACGTGGTAAAACCTTTATTTGGTTTAGGACACAGCCTCAGTTTGTTTCAACTTTTAACTTTCCCAGAGACTCATCAGGTCTTAAAGAAGATAATAGAACCATATTACCCTCCCTATCTTTTTCCCACTTTCCCTACTTTCTTTCTTTCTGGTGGCAGTGTCTTGCAAACATTTCCTACATATTCAGGCTGTGTATTCAGTTGTTTTCTGACTAAACATCTCTGTGTAAAGTCCATTAGGACTGACAACTGGAAAAACTTGACAGCTATTCTAACAAAACATAATGTTTTACCAATAAATTAATAAGATGTCAACGTGTTAAATCGCAAAAGAAAATCTTTTTCCAAAAACTCTTCATTTTCAAATAAATATATTATTAAATGCTATCTGTGCAAGATCTGGAGCAGACAACAGATGGGATTACTCTGTGTCCCCGGTGTGGTTACGAGTAAAATCCGAGTGCTAGGTGAAGAAGCAGAAACCATTAAAATTTGCGGATAATCAATTGTTTTTCCATCTAAAGGAAAATGTGAGAATAGTCTGTGCAAGAGATGTAGGTTAGTGTGCCAGTGCATGAAACTTCTGAGCAGTTATGTGATCCTGACCTACTTGTGGTTAGGGTTTCCCGCGTGGCCTGTTACCCAACAGATACACATTGGAAAACAATGGAGGTGCAAGCAAAAATAAATGAACAGCATCCACTGCATGAAACAAGTCGTCGTCTATTCTGTTAAAAAGCACATAAGATCAGAGGTAACGCATCATCAAGTAGTGACCGAGGATATCGACTGTACCACAACCTCTGCCCTTGTAATGATCACTCTGCGCTTGACTGGAAAAGGATGCAGGCTGGCAAACACTTGAGATTTTACTCCTTACTGCAGTATGTCACCACAAACTTGGAGACCTAAAACTACTCTACTTTATATTCTGACTTGTAGTATTTTTAACTTTGGCTTAGTGAAACTTCATTGCATGGTTTGACAGCTGCTAAACTGCGGTAAATGGTTTTAACAGTCAAATCTAAGCCGTTCAGTTTATTTTGGTCCTTATTAATATTTATACGTAGTAAATACACAGAAATAAAGCATAACAATATTGGCGGAAAAGGTGTGGGCTGAAGTTATAGCTTATTACACCTACCCTCTCTACATAATGTTACATGAATCTGCAACTACTCACTACAAACCAATGTATAGTCAGAGACGATAAGCCGATTGTACTGTAGTTTATTGGGTGATAAAAGCAGGATGCCATCCCAGCTTGTTGCTGTGGACAACACCTAAACATCACAGTACTGGATGTACTGTATATACAAGACTTAACTGTGCTGTGTACAGCTCCAGAACTGTTAGGAAAAGACTTCTCTGCAGTGGTTTGATTGAAGTTAGGATGAAGGATAGCTCATTCAGGGGCGCTTTTGTTATACTTGTCTGTGTATGAATGGGCTCTGTGTGACAATGTGAATTATACTCACCCGCTGTTGTTTGATTTACAATGTGTGGTTATCAAAGCAGCAATATCAACAAAAGACTGTTGTTATTAGACAGATATATGGTAGATATGAGATATTGTAGGCATTACACATTTAAAAGGAAATAGAACAGAACAAGCAAAACAGGAACCATTTCTAAAGCCTAAAGCTGAATTAATGATTGAACTCAGAATCTGAAAATTGCACATAAACATTTTAAGGAAGCAAACGGCTCCAATAAGCAAATTTGATACTGGATTCAGATAAAGTGACATGAAACCCCAGTCCCTATATGTGTCAGCCTAATGGGAGATCCAGGTGCAACACACCATCTCTAGCATCCCAAAGGAACACAGTCAGATCTTATGTTTACAGTTGATTTTATAGACAACAATCAGCTGTGTAGGCAACAATGAAAAGGACCCATTCAGAGTTTGTCATTCTGATTTTTTTTTCTTTGCTTGTGAGAAAAGGACTTGTGAGTCACAGGAGGCGAATCACAAAAACGTTCCATGAAAAAGTAAAATGACACCAAAGTTGAGTCTGGGATGTTTCACACATAGAAGTCAGGAATCATATTTGCTTTTTCTATAATGTTTTACTGCTTCTCATTCAAACCCGTTTCAGTTATTGTTCTCTCTCTACTCCCACTTTGAAAGAACCCAAGAAATGAAGAGAAAGAGTGTGTGTGTGTGTGTGCGTGCGTGCGTGCGTGCGTGCGTGTGTGTGTGCGTGTGTGTGTGTGTGTGTGTGTGTGGTGCACACAGACATGCGCGTGCACACAGCCAGGAATGAGGTTACTAGGCTAAGGGATTGTGCTGTGCTGTGGTGCGGTCCAAGCAGAGTGTCTGTCCTGACAGATGTAGGGCAGAACAGTTATATAAGGACTGATATATGGCGAGGCAGCCAACAGCCGCACGCGCACACACGCGCACACACACACGCACACTCACACAGGCAGGCAGCCAGGAACATCAGGAGGAAGTGGCTAACCCAGCAACACGCAGACATAAACACAGAAGAACATTCTGTCTTTCTAATGTGGAAGTTCACACTAATGCTCACGCATATGCACACCATCACACGCCTAATATGTTGTGCACGCACTCACACAAACATGTTTCTTGGCTTGTGAAAGATTTGCATGAGTGCACGTGGACATACATGTTAATCCGCTGCAAGTTTGGGCTCATGTGCATGCTCACATGCACACAGGCACAAACTGTAACAACAGAATGATCTGTCGAGCATTTCTGATATAGTTTTAATGCTTTTTGTCCACTGAGATGGAAGGAGGGCAGTGGAGATGAGACACGTCTGGACTGTCGATGACAGTGAGATTGAAAGCAGAGAAATGCACGTCCTGCTCATTTTCCTTTTTTAGGCTCCTTAGACTGATTTCAGTATTTCTTAGACTATTAAGCAAAAGATAAAATTAAAATAAGATAGAATAAACATTTAGGAAGATTTAAAAAAGATTAACAGAAAATATGATTTAGAATTTTGCTGACTACTGCCCTGGCTCAGCTGCGTAGTTAAGATTGAGAAATATTACTGTGATTCATTTTTATGGCAAATAGCAGTTTAACAGTGTTTGTATGTGTCAGTAAAGCTTATTGAAATTCAGAGGTAGATCGAGGGGTTTCTGTGTAGCAGTGTTAACCACAAAACCAATTTTGTGTCATCACAGCGGAAGTGACAGCCCCTGCTGCCTGAAATGAATCACCAACCTGAAAAGTAAAATTATTGAAGCTGTTTTCCCCCATAGAAAATATTATCATAAAAGTCAAAATGACAGGAAATAAACCCTGTTTTAAGAAGTCAGTTTTGAGTTTATAAGTTATGTGACAACATACTTCACCCTCTGTTTATGTGTGTGGTTCTAGACTCAGTATTTCATTACTAGAGTTTCTCCTGTTGACCCACTTTGTGCCCACTACCAGTTTTGTCTGCTGCAGAGCTGAAATTTGAAATGTATTGACAAAAACCCAGAGTGGACAAAAAGCTCAATCCAGACAGTCCAGTGTGGAAGCTCTTGCACGGGCTTCATAACTCTGTCTAGCTCATGCAAAAGCAGGCACGTGCCTCAAGTGTGCGCGACCTTGCTGCCTAGCTCCGCCTGTCTGTGTGCGGATTGAGAGCAAATGGGGCTTTGCCTGGGAGTGAGCCCTCCCCTGGTTTAATGATCAGGCCAAGAGGGTCAGACAGAAGGGAACAGAACTGAGCAGAACATCGTCTGGCTGCCAGGGTGTCTGCTCGGCTCGCCGAATGTCTGCTCAGTCTATGAGCCCACCTGATTTTGCTAACGATCAGGACTGCAGGTCAGACACAACAAACTGAGGCTCAGTCTTGAATGCTGGTGCTCAACAGTTTGACCTTTGGTAACCTGCAGATGCAGGTAACAGAAACTGTGCACAGATCATTAGCTTGACAAAAGGGTCTTAACAGCTTTGTCCCTGTGCTGTCTGACTGCATTTATTATATCTGTATAAACTGTATAAATTAAAGCTTCTATGATAAATATTTTTATAATAGCAATTCATTAAATCAATGAAATCAATGTGACCTAAATCTGCCGCTCTCTTCAGCTTTTATAATAAGTTTGACTCATGCTGGACCCGCACTTTTTTTTGTTCACTCATTTCTCTCGTAGCATCATTTTCATTGAAAAGACCAAAAGTGCAGAGCCAGTCAAAATAAAACTTAAATTCTTAAACACTGCACTGCAGACTGAGAGGTCCAGGGTTGCCGCCTGCGTCACTTGTGAACGTCAGTAACCAGACTTAAAATATTCCTGACCAGAAGCAGCGATTTGGAGAACAGGCGGAAGTGTGTGTGTGTGTGTCTTGTGTGTGTCACAACCAACCTTCAGACAGAAACACCAAATGTCTCTGTGACCTTTCGGTTAGTAGTGGTTAGTGTCTGAACACGTGCTCCCTCGCTGTTTTATATTTTCTGTATTTATAAAGGAACGTGCTCCCTGGTGACTGTTTCATGTCCATATTCATAATCATTCACTGAAAATAAAATGCATTCGTTCCGAGCACATGTTCAGGGTTTGCACTAGCACTTTGAGGGAGAGACACATAAAGTTTTATTTTATTATTCAGTTCTGATGCATGTTGATCCATTAAAGTGTGTGTCTGACAGTGAGGGGAATCTGCTCTCACTGGGTGGTGGCATGCGTGATAAAGTCCAAAACACACACACATAGGCACTTTTTCATCCCCACACACACACACACACACATACACACACACACTCTTATCATTGGCTATTTTTAACATGAACTATTCCAACAGAGTTCCCATTCAAAACAATGTTGATGTTCTGTTGTCGTCGAAGCTTTTGACGTCAAGCAGACACTCGCACACCTGAGCACCAAAAAATACCAAACACGTGAACAAGTGAAGGATCTTAGGGTAAAAGTACAACGAGTAAACTCAGCTGTTTGCTTCATGATTCAGGAGTAAAATTAGGTCGGTTATAAATCTTTGTCTACCTCCTCGCTGTCTTCTCTCTTCAGGTTTCTCCTCCAGTGTTTGGAGGATCTGGACGCCAACCTTCGGAAACTGAACTCTCGCCTTTTTGTCATCAGGGGCCAACCAGCCAACGTGTTCCCACGGCTCTTTAAGGTCAGCAGCCACTGAAAATGAACAACAATTTAAACAAGGCATAAAGTCGCTGGGTCCAGCTTCTCTTAACATTGAGATTTTCTGGTAAATATCATTGTAAATGTGTTTTCTTGTCTGGGTTGTGGGAAATGTTGACAAGCAAACCCGTCTTTCTCTCTGTCTCAGGAGTGGAAGATCTCTCGACTGACCTTCGAATACGACTCGGAGCCTTTCGGGAAGGAGAGGGACGCTGCCATCAAGAAGCTGGCCATGGAGGCAGGGGTGGAGGTCAACGTCAAGATATCGCACACCCTCTACGACCTGGACAAGTGAGGAAAACACAAACACACACACACACACAAACACAGTGGGAAAGACATACATGGCATGATGGTGGATTGTTGTGGTGAGTCCTGCAGCCTCAATATTATTTTCTATGCATTTTATAAGGATGTCAACCAACATCTAGCATCTATACATTTTATTTTTTTAAGGTTGTGATCAGCTCCTTAATGTGATTCAAAGCTGACGGCAGTAGTAATATATTTACACTGAAAGCTCATGCATAAACTTTACTTCATATGCAAGTGTTACCTTTGTTATTTTTTTAAATTAATCTACACTCTATACATCTATACTGTATATTTTAAATACAATCTTCCAAAATGCTGTTTAAACTCTACATTAAACCATATGAGCTGAGAGGAGGCAGAAGCCAAACTCCCTGCCTGACGCTAAGTCCCACTGCGGGCAGCAGTGCCACCTTGAGTCCATGCAGAGTGAGACAGGAACACGAAATCCTCCTCTGACACCTGTTGTAACAAAGAGGGGGCAGCTGATGGATGGCAGTGGAACCCAGTTTAACAGATCTTTATTTATTTTATGATGATCTCTTCAGATTTTAGGACTACAGACAGGCATTTGTCACATCACACATTTTGACTTTGCATGGCAGAGAAATCACAGATAAAACCAATGTAACTAATGGCTCAGTTCCAGTAGGGAACTAGCTCACCTAAATGAAAAGCCTGACCTAGTACACCTGAACTTGTCGTGCTCTGAGAGGTCAAAATGTTGTGAAAAGGTTTATTGACCATTTGAAATTAATTTTGTTCAGAAAATCATTAACTTTTTCTTTGAGCATCAGAAAAAATGTTGCAAAGTGATCTCTCTCTTGTGCAGATAATGAATTTGATTTTATATTTCAAATGTGACCGATCCCTGATCTCTGAGCCCTGTCTCCTCTCCAGGATCATAGAGCTGAATGGCGGGCAGCCTCCTCTCACCTACAAGCGTTTCCAGACCCTGATCAGTCGACTGGATCCTCCGGAGATGCCCGTGGAGACGCTGTCAGACACCCTGATGGGCCACTGCGTCACCCCCATCTCTGAGGACCACGGAGACAAGTATGGGGTCCCATCCCTGGAGGAGCTAGGTAAGAAAACAAACGCGCACTCCTGAATGTAGACAAGTGCAGACCTGCACAGACAAAATGCAGGTGTGTTTTCAGCAGTTGGAGATCATACCACCTCAGACCAACACCTGTAGTAACAAAAATAGACATATAATAGCTCAATAGCTTAGTTCCATTAATGCTACAAACCACCCATAATGCAACACTGTGGGAGCCAGTGAGAAAGAAATAATTAACACTGTACACTCATTAGCCCTCCTTAATCCACTTTCTCTATTTAAAGGTACATCTCTAAACCCTCACTATTGGATTAATCAGGTGTACCCGAGGTTCTGTCCAGTTTTCTTCTTTCCATTCACAGAAGGTTACAGTCCATTCATACTATTAGCTGCACTAAAGCCATCTGCTGCTTACACCTGTGCAGCTATTGCACTAATGAATAAGATATTTAAAGTGTTAACCCTCTAATTCCATCAGTGCAGATGTCTGGTTTCTCTCTGTAAAGGTTTTATTCCACACCAACTGTTACTTGTCCCCTAAATTAGCCTGGTAACATATTAAGTGCTCGGCCAGTCCAGCTGTCTGGTTTCCATTCACAGACGGCCACTGTCCATTCACAATCTGATGGTGCTGCCACCATCTGCTGCTCACACTTGTACACAGTGTTCCTAATGAACCTGATGGGTGACCTGCTAAGAACTGGTGAACTAAGAAAGACACCCGCCCAGAATAAGTTTTATCTGACAAGATCATGAAGATAGATTGTGTATAGAAATATGAATAAATCAAGTACAGTTTGAAACATTTGGTCAAGAGTTTAGAAGATTTATGATTTATTAAATTCTAGACAAGGTTTGTCTAGTTTAGATTTTTAGGTTAAAAGGTGAGTGTGTAGAGTAACACATCTATCAATGTTGAACCGTTTGAACCGTTGTTGAATACGTTTTCATCTTTTTCATTCCATTGTGGGAAGTTTTGAGGGGACTATATAAGGCGCATTGATTTTACACTTATAATGGAAGGATGGAAATGTAGCGCACTAGATGGCAAATAATCTAATAAATAATCTACTTCCTTTTCACGTCACCAAAAGCTTCACAAATTAAAAAAAAAAATGAATTCAAACTCCGGCTTAGATTTAAACCCTAATCTAACTTTTTTGAGTTCCAAAGGACAAAAAGTGAAAAGAGCCTCTTGTTGTGTTGAACACTGCAGAATGTGACTGGGATCAGTTGATAGTGTAATAAAGTGATTATACACATCTCTTATATCTCTTACTCCATAAGAGTGGATTTAGTGTGGAAAATCTGTTTTATTCATGAATAATAAGATGACAGTGTGGGATGGGAGTCATTGCTTAAGAGCTCCTATTTAAAGCTATTGACCAGTACTGATCACTCGTCACCTGCAGATGGCTCAGACACTAAACTTCATACACTTCTTTTTCATTTTAGTTTTGTAGATATTATATGATCAGGCCGGGCTGGAAAACCTCATGTTGTTCGGCTTTGTAGTGCAGTGTGGTGGAAATGTTTTCATTCTGTTTTCCCACTGTTCCTCTGATAAAGGAACCGCTGCCACTGTTGGTCTGAGGATGTGACTCTTACACAGTGGGTGCAGAGATGAACGCAATTATGCAACAGTTACCCAAGCTTATGTATTCCTTGTACAATGAGTGGTCACCAGCTAATTCCGCGATTATCAAAAGATGAGGCGAGGCAACCCGATCCGCGCAGTGATGCTTTGTCGTAGGTATTAGCTGGTTGCCTTCGTGTTGTGTAACATTTTATTTAGTGTTTGTGACATAACTGAAGGATTGTTTACTCATTCAACACGTGGGTATGACGCGGTTGTAAACCAGAGAGGTGATTCATGTGAATGTTTTCAGGCTTTGACATTGAGGGCCTGCCCTCAGCGGTGTGGCCAGGAGGAGAGACCGAGGCTCTGACCAGGATAGAGCGCCACCTGGAGAGAAAAGTCAGTTCCATTCATTCTCGTATTGACATAGTTTTCATTCGTAACCTTTAAAAACTTATTTAAATTGTCCCATGCAGCTCTTTTATTCGCCACTTTACCATCTCTCCCTCCCTCTCCTCTTCTATTTTTCTTCTTTTCCAGGCATGGGTGGCTAATTTTGAGCGCCCCAGGATGAACGCCAACTCGTTACTGGCCAGCCCAACAGGCCTCAGCCCCTACCTGCGCTTCGGATGCCTCTCCTGTCGCCTCTTCTACTTCAAGCTGACTGACCTCTACCGCAAGGTCAGTGCACAACCCCCCCACTTAGAGTGAGGCTTTCTGATATCAGCTGCTACGGCAGTGTGTGAAATTATTAGGACAATCGAGAAGGATCCCTCGTTGATGCGCCACACACTGTCTTATAATGTGATCTTAAATCTTTGGGCCTGGGGAGGATATCAAGTCATTTTAAGTCAACATTTTGCACTTGTGCCTAATATTTTTATTCCTGGTGTGTTTGTTTGTATCCAGGTGAAGAAGAACAGCTCCCCTCCGCTCTCTCTGTACGGCCAGTTACTATGGCGCGAGTTCTTCTACACGGCGGCGACGAACAACCCACGCTTTGACAAGATGGAGGGTAACCCCATCTGCGTCCGCATCCCCTGGGACAAAAATCCAGAAGCGCTCGCCAAGTGGGCCGAGGCCAAGACGGGCTTTCCTTGGATAGACGCTATCATGACTCAGCTGAGGCAGGAGGGCTGGATCCATCACTTGGCCAGGCACGCAGTGGCCTGCTTCCTCACCAGGGGGGACCTGTGGATCAGCTGGGAGGAAGGGATGAAGGTGAGAAAACGGTGGATCAGGCGGGACGATGCAAAAAGGGAAAAGAAAGTCATGAACGCCATATCTCAACGCTTTGGGGGAATTTCTTCAAATTTGGTAGAAACGTTCGCTTGGATTCAAAGATGACCTGATGTGATTTTGATGGTCAAAGGTCAAAGATCAAGGTTACTATGACGTCACAAAACACAGTTTTTGCCTTGTGTACACAATATCTTGGGAACTCCTCAAGGAAATCCCTTCCAATTTGAATGTTTGTGCCAAATTTGAAGAAATTCCTTCAAGGCGTTACTGAAATATCGCGTTCACGAGAATGGGATGGCGCCTCCAGTAACAAACACATTTAGCCAGTCAGTGTCATTCGGTAAATGCTGAAAAAGCAAAAACGTGTTGTCTCCGTCCCGCTGCAGGTCTTTGAGGAGCTGCTTCTAGATGCAGACTGGAGCGTGAACGCAGGCAGCTGGATGTGGCTGTCCTGCAGTTCATTCTTCCAGCAGTTTTTCCACTGCTACTGCCCCGTGGGCTTCGGCCGGCGCACCGACCCCAACGGGGACTTCATCAGGTGGGTACCTTTCCCGGCATTGCCCCTTGGTGCCCCCCCCCCTCCCCGCGCACACACCCCACACTCCCCCATGCCCCCAACCAACCAACCAACCCCGCCACTCCCCCACCCCATCTGTATGCTGAATGGCACCCCTCCTCCCTCTGTCTCTCTGAACTGCACAAACTTAGAAGCACTGAGAGAGCAACTCTCAAATGAGTAGAGAGTGCAGATCATTTGAGTGATGTATTTAGATGGTTCTAAGAGTTCAGTCAGATATTACAACCACAAATAAACACGCACTCATATGCACACACAAACACCAACAGACACACACAGCTGATAGACAGTGACAGGCTTAATTTACCAGACAAAGGCAGAGAGCGAGAGATGGAGGGAGGGATAAAGGGAGACCTCCAGATCTTTGGGTAAGTGAATGAAAAGAGAATAAACATCCCTCCTCTCCTCTTCTTATTTTTGCCCATTGGCCTGTTTTCTCTTCTGTTCAAACTTCAGCACTTTAGTTTTGGAATCAGGCATGTCTTTTGTAATAATCTTAGTGTTCACAGTGAACTTCTCTGCGTGCATTTTTTAATTGTTTGTGAATATCTGTTTGGTGATTTTGTACGCGTGCGTATCTTTAGTTACTGTTGCCACCAGATGATTTTTTTTTTTTTTTTTTTTTTTTTTTTTTTTTTTACTGCAAAGGCGTAGATTAATTCTTCTCTCTTTCTGGATGTGGCTCTGTGTTTGTGTTCTGGCTCATCTGTTTTTTGGGGGGACTGGGGGAAAAGTTCAGCTATCCCTCTCCCCTTCGGAGATTGTAGCTGATTGCTTTTAAGATGATTGGCCGTTCTCACGCCCCTCCACCCAGGTGCAGCCGGGCTTCTGGCCAGGGCTGCCTTGGATGGAAGTCGGGGGTCGAGCTGAGACATCGGTGGCCGTTTGTTTTTTACTTACCTGTGCAACCCTGAGGGACGGGACATGCTTGCACCCCAGCAGCACCCTCTGGGCAGGTTTGTAACTCGGTAGCGTCTCATTTCGTCAAAAGGGATTCTGACCGTTTGGTAGGGAAATCAAACGCCTTGCCTGCATTCGTTAGGTAGAGAACTATGAAACATTCCCCGGAGGGTAGCGAGGAGAGGTGTTGGACCAGCTGTAGCTGCCATAGCAGTGATGCACGGTTGGCGCCGGTACACGTTACCTGTGCTGTGCCACGCGAGCCGGTCCATTGTCCAGGCTCTGGGCAAAGCCCCTCATCCAACCCTTTGTGAAATGTTCAGTGGTGCTCTCTTATGTGAATGCAGCCCTGCCGGTGCAGGTGGATCTGGAGCAGTGGCTGGCTAATAAACGCCCTGAGAGATACACACACACACACACACACACACACACACACGCAACTTTCATCTTAGTAGAACTTCTGCCCTGAATTGTATTCAGATGTAACGCAGAAAGACGACATGATGCAAAGTAAGAAACTGGTAAAATTATGATAAAATAATGAAATTAGCCACTTTACTGTCAATAAACTGACATGAGTCCAAGTTCAAATGTTTATCCATAGTATATATTTATATAAAGTATAATGCAAATAACACAAGTATATGAGCAGCAAACGCACATCATATTAAAATATTAATTTAAAGCAAAAAGGATATTAAATTTTATTTTACCTTGTATCTGAACACACCACCTCTCACACACAACTTCACACACTCACTTCCTGAAACACCACCTACTAGGACCGCCTACTACTGGCAGGTTGCGGGTATTCCTGGCAAAAGGGTTGTGGTCCCTTTTGGTGAAATGAGGGGGTCCCCGAGTGGGCCAGCCCAGAGCGTGGTGCTGTGGCTGTGGGAGGGGACAGTCAGCAAGGGGGCTGTCGGCCCGCTGACCACTTAAAAGACAACCACCACAGTCTGAAGGACGGGGGCAGGAGGGGCAGGCAAGAGCTCTTTTCTCAGTCCACCACTGTCTGATCATGGGGGGGGGGGGCTGGAGCCATGAGGTATAATGGAAGACTTCTGTCATCGACCAGGAAGTTTAAGTGTTATTTTAAGTACACATGTAGCTTTAGTCTCCTTTTTTAAAGACTGACGTAAACTGAGGACACAGGGACATTGATGCTGAGCTTTTTTTATTTTACTTTTTTATTTGCCACATTTGCCACTTTTTTTTTTTTTTTTTTTTAATGATATGAAAGAAAGAAAAGGACAGATCTCTCGATGGCAGAACTTTTCCACCATACACCTGCTCTGGTCGGGGGTGGGGGGAGGGCTGCGGGTGGATGGGGGTCAATACACTCTGTTTTCTAACCGCGTGTTACAGTAGACGTCTCCTAGCATCATCAACCCAATCGGCAGTGGTCTCTCTTGCGGCTGGGCGATCTCCGTAAGCAACCGGAGCGTTGTCCGTCATGTGTGCGTGTCAGTCCACAAGGCTGCACCACCCCCGCCCACGCCCCGCTCTCTCTCTGCCCGCCAGTGCCGTACTGTGCCGCTTCCCACAGTTCCACAGTTCCACTCGCCCCCTCCTCTGTCCTGTCTGTCTCCCCTCCTCAGACTCGGTAAGGTCGGACCAAGTGCAGTAGGTAGGTTGCCTCTCTTTGTCACACGGAGCAAATCCACGACAGCCCAAAGGAAAACCTAAGCACAAAAACTTCAGCAGGTTGGAACAGTATTGTGAGCTGAATTCTCTGCTTTGTTGCAGTCAGGGTTTCATTGGCTTCATCTCCTGGAGGTTCACACTTTTTTTCTATTTTTTCTTTTGTCTGCGGTGTGGCTGCTATCACACCAACTTATTGTAAAAAGTTGTTCGGGAGCACAGCCCCTTGTTTTTATTGACCTATAGTCCTCACGGTGCACTGTGGCGCTAACTCGCCTCAGTGCCGGAGTCTCCAAAAGTGTAGAGCAGTGACTTTGTACTCATACTCTCATGTACTGCAGCCATACTGTGCAGTGTTGTGGTTGTTTGTAGCTTTCATTTTGTTGCAACTATTTCCCATAATACTTGTAAGCATGAAGTGCTGAAGACCAGCATGCTGTTCTCAGTTACACATTCACTGGCTGTAAAAATAAAACAAATGTATCTTATTACATTATGAGTAAGTTATAATTTTCTTACAAAAACACAGTTTGTACTGAATTTTAAATGTATAGTTGACATAGTATTAATAAAGTTGTAGTTATTCACTTGTTTTGAACATTATAACTACTAAGATATATTTCTAACTTGTTTTTAAAGAATAACCTTTTGCGTGCCTGCATCACTCCCACCCCCAACCCCCTGATTTACTCCACATGTAACGGTGTAGCCGTCCACGTCCTGCTGACACAAGCTGGCGTATCTAATGTCTCCCTGTGCTTCCAGACGATACTTACCTGTCCTCCGAGGTTTCCCCGCTAAGTTCATCTACGACCCGTGGAACGCTCCGGAGTCCGTGCAGGCAGCCGCCAAGTGCATCATCGGCGTCCATTACCCGAAGCCCATGGTGCATCACGCCGAGGCGAGCCGACTCAACATCGAGAGAATGAAACAGATCTACCAGCAACTTAGCCGATACAGAGGACTGGGTGAGAGAACAATAAACTGACAATTTTACTACCACTAATATTTGGCATGGTGGTGCGAAATGCTCCATGTATAATTGGTGGGGCTATGAATTAAAAACCATTAAGAAAATAAAATAAAACCAACAACCAATCAGTAAAAATAAGATATGTAAAATAAACTATTAAAGAGTAGGAATAAGATATGATTAAATAAAATAATATGATTAGATAAAACAAATAAAATGGTTCCAAATGACCTGTGGGGTCTAGCTGGTTCATAGCTCACAAGCAAGTCAGACAGATACTGAGGTGCAAGACCACGTATGGCCTTAAAAACAAGCATTAAAATGTTGAAATAATTTCTAAAATATACTGAAAGCCAATGTAACAATGTCAAAATAAATATTCTCTCTTCTCCAGATGTAAAAACAAACACGTTTTTGTGTCTTTCAGGCCTGCTGGCGTCAGTGCCGTCCACGAATGGGAACGGGAACGGAGGAATGATGGCCTACTCTCCTGGAGAGCAGCAGCCAGGGACCAACAACAACAACTCACATTGTAAGTCCATTTTGAACAAAGAACGACGTGAAGTGTCTTGTGAACGAAGAGATGGTTACACGTCTTCTTTGGTGGTGTTTTCCCAGTGCCTGGAGTGTCGGGGAGCTCCGTTGCGACGGGTAACGGCAGCGGAAGCATCCTACTCAACTTTGACAACGAGGAACAGACGCGGCCCAGCAGCGTTGGGCAACAGCAACAGCGACTGCAACCGCTGCCACATCAACAACAACAGCAACAACAGCAACAACAGCAACAACAGCAACAACAGCAACAACAACAACAGCATGGTGGGTCATCATCTGACATCTCATTTCACTCTGGTGCAAATGCTGCTGGTTTGAAACCCACTGGTTTGAAAAAGGAAGGCCGTTCTACAATTACCACAGCAGCACTATTGGCCTTCCTCACTGCACCTCAGAACTACAAGCAGCCTATGCACTTATGAAACTACCTATAATAGTTGCTAGTAACTTTGTAGTAGGACCTCAGCTTATGTGGAAAGACAACAAGGTCAGTTACGCTTGTAATTCATCACCAATGTTGCATTCACCACTGGTACTCGTGACCGATGGATGTGTGCGTCATCGTTTCCACAGGTCTCAGTTTCTACCGTCCAGACTGGACGGTGCGGTGCGGACGCCAGGCATAAACACAGCAAAAGTGATGTGCTTTAAAACTAAAACGTATGGTGTGGATGCAGGCTGAGATATTTCAACAGCTACTGGCCAGATTGTCATGACATTCACTGTGGAGAGTAATTGGTCTCTAGAGGATTAATACAGGGGCCTAACCATTAGTCTATCAACAACATTTCATTAACTCTAGTTTTAACATTGTAAAAGTGCTGGTAATGGCTCATGTTTCACTTGCATGACCCGAATTGTCATTTTCTCTTAAACAATGAGAGTGACTTCATTCCTCCACCACGTCTCGACCTTCACTGATGACAGAATGACTGGCTTTCCTGTGGAAACTGGAAAAATAACAATAATGTTGGATAGGTACCAGGATCAATTGATAGCATAATACACATGAATAGAGGTGTCAATTGATGCTTTTTAAAAAGCACGATGCGTGCCAATCTCCACACCGATCAATAATAGTTAGTCATACATACATACATGCTAATTTGCTAATTTAAAATTAGGTTATATTGTGAATATATGAATCTTAAGTTTGAGCCCTCTCAATGCATCTGTTGCAGGATACCACTCAGTGCCAGACGCCAGCCAGACCATCACCAGCAGCCGACTCTACCACGAGTTTGCTGTGCCTCAACACCCAGGTACCAAACAGACAGGATCTGATGCAGCTAACTGTCCTGTGCCACATCGATCCTCAAGTCTGAACTGCCTTTTTAACTGTAAAGCTGACATTTCTGAGATGCTCTTAAAATTATCTTCATGCTCCGGTTGTTTATGAAGTACAAATTTGTTTTTGTTTATTGGATTTCTGAAACAGAAATCAAGGGATTTGTGTAGTGTATAGGAATGCTGCCACAAGAGGGTGTCACTCTTCCTGTCCATTAGTTGTCACTAGCATGAGGTTCTGCATCACAGAAGATGCATCAAACCAGACCTCACTTCACTCAACATACTACTGATATGTTCCCCCCAGTAGAGTGATTCTGATAATGATGAAGTTTTTCTTCTCTCCTGCTCACTCAGGACTCCTCTTGCACACCAGAGGCAGCATCACAGGAAAGCGGGAGCGCGAGTCGGAACGTGACGGGTCAGGGGAGGAAGACCCGGCTTCCTACTCCATGCATAAGATGCAGAGGCAGAGTGCAGAGGTCAGCCTGCTTCTCATTACACAGCCCAGGGTCTTTAATGTCTCTTGAGATTACATTGAAACTGTCAGAATGACTGATTTATGGTTATTCTCTGACAGTTGAGCTGAAATCTTTTGTATGTTGCTATAAATAAATAAATAAAAATTGCTGAATCATAATGTCTGTCAATGAAGTTAAATGAACAGACCTAAACCAGCAGAGTTTAATGATACTTATACCACAAATATATAGTCTCATTTCTTAAAAAAAAAAAAAAAAAAAAGGACTCAGTAATTTCCTAAAACAGCCGGAAACTGTAGTTTTTAGTAAACGTTATTCAGGCAGGAGGAAAAAGTGCATTTGTAGGTGACTATTTTAAGTGGTGGATTAATCCACAGTATTTGGGGCAACAGGACTGTGTATGTGGGATTTAGTCAAAAAAAACTACAGTGTGTGTGTGTTGATGTAATGAAGGAAGTTCAGGTGATGTGTTTTTAATAGTTATTGAAAAACAGTGAAGCTCAGAGGAAGAAGGTAGATCAGGTGTTGGATATACACATTATACTTGCTAGGAGGATGCATTCATTTTTGGTTTTGGTCTTTTCATGGGATTTGTTGACAAAAAGAAAAAAGAATTATTGTTATCTTCCTGAGGCCAGATTATTTTGAGATAATATTCTAATTGTGTTTAACAGTCTTTGATCTTTGCCTGTTCTCAAATTTAGCTCATCAACCACAACTTTTCTTCTCTTGCTGTAAGCTAATTAAAACTGTTAATATACAGTATATGAGAGATATGCACCTTCTCAGGCTTGCTTCACTAAAACTAAGCCAGTCAAATCCAACAGTCCTGCAATGCATCCTCCCTGTATGAAGATTATAATGTTCAGTTTTTGTTGAAAGAGAAGTGTTGTTCATTTTGCAGGCTGTAGTTTGTGGTGCTTTTAAATTGTACCGCATTATGCAGAAAGGTGCGTTATGTTATTTAGCCTTCCTTCTAAATAAATGCAAATTCAACATGATCCTAAATGATCACACAGTTGAATTAGCATGAGACAACACAAATATATGAAACTGTCAAAGATTCTTTTTTTGTACTGTTGGTAACAATGAGGGTATTTTAATATCTCTGTTTGTAAACCAGACTGTTGTAGGCGATGCTGCGAATTAATGTTATATTTTATATTATTTTAGCATCACTGATGAAAATCTACTGCATTATGATATATATCAACATTGTGATATAAAAGTACAAATAATGCTAAACAGCACCATAAAGACAGAAGTGTGGAAGCTGGAATGAGAAAATCCAGAGTGGAACAGAATAAAAACAGGATAAAACTGCTGTTTTTTTCCAAAGAGTTGACGCAGGGGAATGAGACTGTGGCGTATCTTGATGACACGCATCAACCCACAGTGACATGTCATCACCGGCCTGTGTGTAAGAGAGAGAAAGTGCTCACATAACAAAACAATTGAGGTGTAGGCGTTTTGATGCAGCTGGTGTTCGTTGCCCTTTATACTTGGTAATAAATTATGAATGTGGTCATTGAGGTCGGCAAGTTTTAAATCTCACCACAACATGAACAGAAAATCTACACCTGAAAATAGATAGAAAGACAACAGGTGTTTGTTTATTTATCACGCTGCTTTGCACAAGACGATCACACGACGGATGGAGAATGTCGTCTGTTATGTCTCTGCTCCCACTACAAGGTAAATATTTTTCATCAGTCTGTCAACAGAGGGAGTCATCTTTGTAAATGTCACCCTGCTGTAAAGTTGCCACGCTCAATAAAAAACACAAAACAGCTGTTTGACTCTAGGACACAATGCAAAACAATGGTTTGAGTCCGCAATGGAACCTATGAAAAAGAATAGAAAAACAGGGAAAATAGTCATGCCTCCCCGGATGCTTCTGTTCAATTCACTTTCAGTTACTTTAAACATTTACTTTAAATTTTTTTCTCTGTGCAAATAATACTGTCTTTCTCTTTGTGTCTTCCCTGCAGACTACCTAGAGCAGGCGTAGACGAGACTGTCTGTCTGAATCCACATTGGTCACCATCCGGGCAGCAGAGAGTGGAAATCCCAACGTCGCCACCTGTCCTCAAAACAAAACGCAGCTCCAGACACGACCGCCTCCTCCTCAGACAAACCTTAAACTTCTCTTTCTGTCTTAACAGAAAACCCCACACCCACCCCCACCCCACCCCCAAACCTGGGGTGTAAACACAAAGGTGAAAATGTGATCTCTGGCTCTTGACACAGTTTCTTACAATGGCGTTTATATCACAGTCCGTCAACCTCTGACCTCTTTGTAGTTGCATGCTGACAGGTGTGACAACCTCAGAAGAATGTGCAAAGAAACAAAAACACCTCCACACTACAGCTTGACGAATTATTTGTAAAAAAAAATAAATAAATAAATAAAATAAAATAAAATAAAAAAACATTACATTATTGTCTTAAAACTGCTGCCACCAGCCAGTATATACTATACAAACACTGAAGCAGCTATAAGTGTAAGTAATGTAATACTTAGTGGGTTTTTTTTTTTTTTTTAAAGCTGCAAATTCTCCATCAAACACCTTGTCTGCCCTTTCATACATCAATATTAAATCAAGCTTTTTGTGTCAGGGTTTACAGAGAATTTTTTGTACTTTTACTACAGCTTTGTATTATTTACATCCCACAATGTTAACCAGGAAAACAGAACACAAGCTCACTTATAACATGTTTTGTCACAAATGAAACTTCAAATTGGAAAAATTGCTGTTTATACTGATAATGTATTTGTTGTCAAGATGAAACGCTTGTACATAAGGCTGATTAGAGTTTTTAAAAAGTAGTTTATTTCCCAGGAGAAATCAATCTGTACATCCAAAAAAAAAAAAAAAAATGAAGGACGGGTTTTAGTAATCTTTAAACTGTTATGTTGCTGTGGCTTTTTTTTAGTTTTGTTTTGTTTTTACCAGGCTAAAATGATAAGAAGCACATATGTATTCACAGTAACAGCCTGGCTGGTCGTTTCAGGGACTTTGCTGAAAATATCCGCTTAAACTTCTCTGCTTCAGTCTCACTAGTTTGCATGTAAATAATAATAAATAGCTCTTCAGGTACCGGAGGGTCCAGCTGGTGAGCAAGCGTTATAATCCTCCTCCTTAACACAAGTGTGACTATTCACAATTGATTTCACGGGAACATCTACCACTGCCTGGTTAGTGTCTGATCACTTGATTTGTATCGGCAGCTAAAAACAGTGATTCATATAGTTTTTTTTTTTTCAGTGTTTAAGATGTACAGTATGTGAATATCAGACTTATGTATATGGTTAACAAACCGTCTTTAAAGGCGTGTTTACAGTGTCTTAGTGTAGATTAGTTAGCGGACGTTTTGTCGGGTCACTCTGGCTGTAAAACCGCCTTTAGAAGAATGGCATTATGGATTGTATAGTTGCCATCGTGGAGTCTCTGAGCTCACATGTAGCTGAACACTTTTTAGAAGTAAAACTTTTCTTCAAATGAACCATCAAGTAAGCATGTTGCAGATTTTTTTTTAATATATAAATGGATTTAGATCCTGATCCTTTCACACATATAGATTTTCACAATTCCCATTAACATCAGTCAAACATGAGCAGGCTCTGTTCTGTACAGTTATTGAGGATTACACACCATCTTCATCTTTAGTTTCAAGTGTTGCTTTTGTCATCTCTGCAGTTTCACACCTTCAAATTAACAGTAAATCGTTGTAAAATAGACATTTTTTTCACAGCTGTTGACCATCAGAGCCTGGACGATCCTTCTCCAATGTTCTCAATTTTACTTCACCCTTCAAAAGTCAGTCACATTTTCACCTTTTGTTTCCCCCCAACAAAAATGCCTCAATGTCCACAGAAGTTTCAAGACAAATAACTCTATACAGAGTATCTCTGAATATTTAACATTTCTTTTGTTTGTTTTTTTTTTATTTTTTTGTGCTGTGAAACTCGAGCAACAACCAAAAAACAAATTACAGTGTCGATGTGGGAGAGGAAGTGATTTGAGGTAACGTTCGTCAAAAATCCAGAGGACACAGAACTCAGGCAGTTGGTTCCAGTCTCCTCTCAAAGGTGTCACATTTTTTTTAAGATTTCTTATAAAAACCAAAAAAAAAGTTGATAAACAAACTGGAAGGAAGAAACTAAAACAACAAGTTTGAGTCGACACAATAAAAGGCTGGCGACAGCATCTGATCCAAATGAGCCTTCCAAATTCTGTCAGCGAAACAGAAACCGACATTCCTCAGAAACAAGCGTACCCTCCTGATGAAGGATTTCTACTACTGTACAAGGAGTTTAACTATACATAAAGACTAAGTACAGCTGCTGGTGACATTTTGAGACCTGGATTTATTTGAAACTGAAGTCTGACTGAACATTGAGGAGTGACAGCGCCGCAGAACAGCTGAGAAATAACCGCCAACCAAGTCAGATACATTGATTGATAGTAAACAAATGAGAAGGGTCACAAAATGGTCTCCGGGAAGTCGTCTGTGAGGATTTGTATAAGCATTGAGAAGATGAACGTTGGCATCTCATTTAGGCTCCATCCACCCTCCACTATCACCTTTACTCCTGCTGAGAAGAATGCAGTTGAATTCAACCAGAGATTGTATGATTCCCCCTGTAAAATACACCCAGCAGCTTCTTGTACTGATGTTAATACCACACACACACACACACACACACACACACACACACACACACACACACACTGTAACATACTGTAAATTCTCAACAACAAAAAAAATCATCAATTTACTGGCGCCTGAACCAACAACTAGCACCAGCAAATTAATTCTGTCCTCTTCTACTTTGCCATGTTTTCATTATAATATACTTCCTGTCACTGTTTCACAATAAAAGCTCTCAGAGGGAAGGTTGCGCCCTGCCAAGCTGGAGCTGTTTTAATGTGAAACTTATGGAGGAAGTGTTGAATTTAGTATTAACAGCAGACAATAATAATTAACGCTACAGATCAGAAAACAGGAAGGCTTTGTGTTAAAATACTCTCATAAAAAGAGTCTCTGTCTCAGATTGTAAAGGTCTGGTATATTTGAGAATTTAGAGTAAACACATACATATACATTTATCATGAATTATGTTCCAGCACCAGCCTTTTACACACCACACACACACATACTTTCACATGGTTGAAACACACACACAGCCTTTGTAATGGTTAGATGGGAGAGAACAGTGAGTTTCATGAGGTCTGCTGGAAACCCCAATCTGCCATTGAGGAGTGTAATGTCACTATGAAGAACTACCAATGAATTGGCTAATAATTGACTATTGGAAAAAATACCTTCTGTGCCCACTTGTATGTTGTGAGCAAAGCTGACAAACAGTGAAGAAACTTTTTTTCTTCCCCCAAATTATTAATTACAGCTTCAAAAACTTCACATACTGTTACTTCTACATACTGTAGATTCTATAGACCCTGAGTCTCAAAATACGTCGTTCAACGTTTTCGTAAATTGACAAATAAAAGAACTAGACAAAGAAATGAAAAGTGATGAGTAAACAATTGTCACTATCACAACAGACACCAAAAAGGGAACACATAGGCCCCTTTTCTGGCTTTTAGCAGTTAGCATTTATATTCCTGAAATTAATTGACACAGTCTTGATTTGAAAAATCCTGCAGATTGGGGGTGTAGATGTAAGTTCGGGTTTCAGTGGAGTTGCAAAGACTCATGTCTGTGTACAGTACTCAATATTTGTTCTTCTGTGATCATACTTGGCTTCAGGAGTAACGTAGAGGGTGGGGCAGGTGGGGTGGGTGGGGAAGGATAAAAAGTATTGTAGTGTTTCTGTATTATAATTCTGTATGTTCTCAAGAGGATTTGAACATTGATAGTTTTTTTGTAGCTTTTATCACAATGGAAAAACAAGTTGAACCAAGTTTTTATTCTTGCTTTTTCTTTTTTTTTTTCTTTTGTTTTCTTTTGTTTTTTGTTCGTTCTCCCTTCTGTGACATGAAGGTGAATGATGCCATGTATCATCTCTGTAATATTGTGCTCTTTCTCTGTCTCTCCTTGTGTTGTGAAAGGCTTTTCTCGTGCTTGATCAAGTTCATGACAGGAAATTAAAATTGTTACAACGCGACACCTTTTCATTTTTGCCTTCTTCATTAGCACTGATGCAATTATTTGACCATAAACTACGTTTAGATTTACTTATTTGGCAGACCCTTTTATCCAAAGAAACAAAGGGACAACATGGCCTCCCACCCAGAGTCTGGTTCTGTTGAAGTTTTCTTCCTGTGAAAGGGAGTTTTTTTACTTCTCATTGTCGCCATTTGCTTGCTCATTGTGGGGACTGATGGGTTTCTCTCTATAATATTGAAAGGTCTTAATCTGAATTTGATTCGGGCAACCATGGGTAGCCAGTGTAAATCGATGAGTAGCAGTGACGTGCCCTTTTGGGCTGATGCATTCTGGACCATCTGTAAGGGTTTCACTGTGCATGAAGGGAAGCCCTTCCAGAAGGGCATTGCAGTAATCGCAGTGAGACCATGACCATGGCCTGGACCAAGAATTGGTTGGCATACTGAGTCAGGTAAGTCCGGATTTTTTTTTTAATGTACAGAGCAAAGGGCATGACCAAGAGACAGATGCAACACGGTCAGAGAAGGACGGCTGGTCATCAAACATGACACCCAGGTTTCTTACGACATTAGTTGGGTCAAGGGATGAGGAGATGATTTTATATTGATATCATCGTGGAAACACTGATTGGCCAGGATGACTAGGAGTTCAGTCTAGGGAAGGTTTAGTTGAAGGTGGTTTCCCTTCATCCAATGCGGATATGTTAGAGAGACAGGCTAACATCTGTATGGAGACATTGGGGTTGTCTGGTGGGGCTGACGGGTATAGTTGGGTGTCGTTGGCATAGCGGTGATGTGAGACATAATTGGACCCAAGGAGGTGGTGTATATTGCAAAGAGAAGGGGTCCCAGTACCAATCCTTGGGGCACTCCAGTGGGGAGGGGATCGGATAAGGATGTTTGTCTACATGCTGTTTTGATTTTCTCAATTTCTCATGAAATGCCCTTGTTGTCAATATCCATGTAGACTTTATGACATTTAGAAAAAGGTCCAGAAAGAGAGAAAAAACCGTTTTTATAATATTCTAAC